TGAGCAGGATTTATTTCGTGATTGTGTACATCTTTTAAAATAGTACATTTCACATGTTGTGCTGATTTTGAAAATGTGAAATTGCAATACCATTCACAGTTGGTCTTTATAGTACCACATAATCGGTGTAACGTATGATCAACTACCTTTCGAGCTTCATAACAACCACTTGATGAACATTTATATGACTTACACCAGATGGTAAAGTCATTCGGATCTTTGTCTTTATCACTGCAGCAAATTTGATAACCAAATCCTCGTTCTAAACAATAATTATGTATAAATGCATCAACTGATGACCAATCATCAAAATAATCACCCACAGTGAGATTATATTGATAATTATTAGAAGAATTTATATTAGAAGTTAACTCAAAAAAATTGTTATCAAGAAGTTGTTCAGGATTTGGTGAAATATTAATGTTGGTAAAATTGTCATTAGAAAGTGGTTCAGAATTTAGTGCTAAAATATTAACTTCTCTGGGATTTGGTGAAATATTAATATGATCAGTAAAATCAACATTAAAAGATGTTTCAAAATATGACAAAAGATCCGTATCTGAAAAATTTTCATTAAAAGGTTTGGATAGGTTCACATTATTATTAAAAAATTTGGAAAGAGCATGGATATTCATTTTATTATTATAACTATTAGAACAAAGTAAATCTAGTTCCATATTGTCTTCTTGAAATGTTAAAATTGGGTGCAAATCAAAGATATCCATTGCTAATAAAAGAAAGATTTTTCTTTAAAGAAAGAGCACGAAAAAACAAAAAAAGAAAAATGGCGTTTTTGATTTTACTAGGGTAAATTACACTAAATCACGTGTTATGTAATCAGGTGAATTTCACCAAATGATGAATATCACCATAAAATATTTAATTACGAAATTTTAAATTTTAAATGCAATATGAAAATCATGGTAAAACATACCATATGGTGAAATTCACCACTTGGTGAATTTTACCGACGGTTATTTTCAAATTAATCCTTTATTTTAAATTATATAATTGCAGCTATAATTTTTTTTTATTTTTATAACAATTCAGTTTAATCTATTTTTTTAATAATTTTAAACTTTTTAATTAATTTAATTTATAATTTATATAAGAATCAAAAACTAATTATAAAGCATTTAATTATAATATACTATATATATTATAGTTTTTTAAACTTTCTAAATTACTAGATAAATATAATGTTCTGCACAAATCAATTCATGATATAGTGTGACCTTAATTATTCTTAAAAAATAAAAACGTATTTTGTGAATAACTTTTGATTTAATAGTTTGATTTTAATGATCTTTTTTATTTTGATCAGAATAACAAGAGCTATCGATTAAAAAAAAAATCATTGAAATTGGATCATTAAATCCTAAGATAATTATTTTTGAAAGTCAAATTAAGTTTAAATCAAATTGAATTTTAGAGGAAAAATTTGATTCATATGGATTGCAGAATATTAAATAAATATATATTTATTAAAAAATATAAAATTAATAAAATATAAAAATATAAAAAAAAATATTTTTTACTCAGATAATTTCTTATGTTTCTTTTAAATTTAATATATAAAAATAATATTATACTAATTATTTGCCATTCATTTTTAAAAAAAGAATAATAATTTTTAATGAAAATTTTTTTTTAAAAAAATAAAATTTAATATAATTTTTAAAATTATAATTTATAAGTAATTTAACCTGTTTTACAAATCTATTTAATATTTTAATAAAAAAGGTTATAAATATTAAATACTATTTTTATTAATATTTTTGATAATTTATGATTTAAGAATTAAAAAATATTAATCTTACTTTAGGTAAGAAATAAATTCACTCTATTATTTTAATATTTTTTAAAAGTATAAAAAAAATATTCTATATAAGATAAAAATAGTAAAATATATAAATTTTATTTTTTTATTTTTAATTTTCTAGATTTTACTAATTAAATTTTTCAATTAAATAACAAAAAGATTTCTTGTAAAACTAAAAAAGTTTTTTAATTTTAAAATTTTTTTATGTATTAGATTTCTGGAAAATTTTACTAATATTAATAAAATTTATTAGTTTTAGTTTTATTTCTATTATTTTAAATTTTTCTGAATTTCTTTTGAAATTTTTTAATTTCTTAGAAATTTTTTATAGTATTTTCTTTATATATAAATATTTAATATATATAATAATACTTAATTATTATAATAATAAAAAAGTGGTATAATGTGATCTACTAAATAAAGATATCAGAACTATATATTAAAATAATGCATTTTATATGTTGCCTATCTGATTAGTTATTATGACCACCTAAAAGTGCATATGTAAGATTCTATAGAGAAATAACAAATGGTTTATAAATTAATAATATTAGTATAGTTTATAATTTTTTACCTTTGTATAATTGCTAATATTATACTAATAAATTTGTAAATGTACTGCAATTATCAAAAAAAAAAAAAAAAAGTAGTATAAAGTAAAATTAGTGACTAATTCAATATGATTAATCTTAAAAATAACTAATTTAAAATTTGCTAATGATTGTTTAATTAATTTATTTTCTTTCTCATCTTTAACTATAATTATGAGTTTTTAATATAATTTTCATGTTCAAGAAAAAAGCCAGGAATAGAATAAGTTAAAATTTTATTATATCTGTAATATTATTATTTATTATACAGTAAATAATTAAAAATAAAATTATTTAATTTTAAAATTTTAAACTTCTTTTTGTATTATTATTTATTTTAAAAATTTTAAAATATAATTAATTATTAAAAGTAAAAGGGTATTTTTTTCTTTTTTTTAGAAAATTACATTATTTTAGTTATTTTAAAATAATTAGTAAATGTTTTTATATTAATCTTTAATTGATACTATTTTTTAACTTTTTAATAAGCTTTTTTAGTATAAAAAACTTGTTTTTTTTATTTTTATTAAATGATTATTTATTATTATTTAGTCAAATTAAAAAAATAAAGTCTATTTTTAGAATTTTTTTTTTGCATATTAATTAAAATTAATTAAACCAAAATTTCAAATAAAAAATTTCAAATTTTTAGATTATAAATGAAAAAATATAATTTGTATAAATTATTAATAAAATATAATAGACAAATATACAATATATTTTAAATAATAAATAAAATATAACTTATTTGAAAATTTTAATATAATTTTCTTTATTTTGGTTTAATAATATACTGCATTTTTATCATACCTTTTAATATTTATTAATAGAATTAAAAATGAATCTTTAATACTTTTTTACTTTTTCACAAATAATAATTTTTAAGCCAATTAATCTAATTAATTTTGCACCATTTATATTAATAATACTTAATAATATACTTTATTATAAATTTTATTTATTTCTTTAATTATTTTTTTCATGTTTTTTATATAAATCTAACAATTTTTTCATAATTTCATTATAAATTTTTGTATACCAATACTTTTACCAATTATAATTATAATAATATTAGATTTAAATCCTATCATATCAACTTATAAGAACAATTAATGATATTACATGTTATATTAAAAGCTTTTAAACAGATTCAAAGCCAGTATTAGTTAATACAGCTATTCATATTTTTCCAATAATACTTTGCTTCTATTATTTCTATTATTTTTTTATTTATGGATACATTAAATATAAAATTATTTGGAGTAGTATAAGTTAAAATATTATTAATATATTAAAATTATATACCATTTATATTGAATGTTATGATTTAAAATACTTAAAGTATTGAATCATTTTTATCATAAGTTTCAAATATTTCAAATAATCATATATTTTTCCTAAAAAAAATTTTCTAATTCAGTAAAATTCCTAAAAATTAGGAATTTTTTTTAGGAAAAATACATGATTATATTTAGAATTGTGTAGAATTCCTAAAAATTGGGATTTTTTTTTAGGAAAAATACATGATTATATATTTCAATCAATTTAGATAAAAGAAATACTACCTTAGTTATTAAAATTAAATGGCAGTAGGGCACTATGGTAAATACCTTACTCATATAAACTTTATATATAGAATTTAAATAAACTACACAAATAAATAAAGTAATATTCTTAAACATCTAAACATCTTTATTTAAAAATAATTATAAAAAGGATAATTTTTTAACTTTTCTGAAGTGTAATGTTATATTCAAATTTAGTAAAGTTCATATTAGCATTATACCTGTCAAATAATATAAGGATAATATTCTAATTACTGTAATTTGAATTTTAAAATCTCTAATTTTTACGGCAATAAAAGACTACTAATACTTTAAATTCATTTCAAATTACTTTGTTTAAGGATCTAATTATAATAAAGTTTTATTTAACAAAATATTCCCCAATAAAGTAAACATTTCTACAGCGAATTCATTAATTTGCAATATCATTCATTATTGTCAATGTTCCAATATTACGAGTTGACAACCTTTCGAAAGTTTCTTTCATGAAAACACGGTGATGTTGAATACACTGATTTTAGTGAAATGTTTTTTTATTTCTCTTACTTCGATCGTAACGATATTTTCCTATGTCCATGATTTATTCCTTCATAGTAATCTTAACTGTCATTCATTGGCTCGGAAAAAAGAGGTGTTAATTAAACTTCAATTCCGCGTAACCATAGGAATACACCCGCGTTCAACCCTTTGTTTATGATTATATAATTTACCGAGTTTTTTTTTTATTTGTTACACCACTTAATTAAAAGACAAATTTGATAATTTAAACTTATTTTATTAAACTGTTACCGTCTCAGCCTATTATTTCAATTACCGAAACCCGCGGAAAAATTTTTTGTGGCAAGAGTTTATTAACATTTACACTACATAAATCTTTTCTCTCGCGTATTTTATGTATACAGTAACTCGTAATTAATAAAATTTATTCTAAATCTATGTAAATTACTATAATTTATATTTGTATTCAATTATTATTACAATATTTTATATTAAGTGTAAAAATTTAACCTCATTTATCCATGGTCAGCTGTTATTTTTGGAGGGTTTTTTACCATCTAATGGACACTAGAAAAAAGTGAAAAATTTTAGTATATAAATGATTATATATATATATTCTTTTTTTTTAAAAAAAAAAAATAAAAGATTTAATAATTACAAATGGAAGACAAGTAAAACAACCGTCAAGTCCTATACATAAAGTTTGCTATTATCAAGTAAGACAATTACATATTAATAAAAGGTAAAATTAATTATAAAAAAGTATTGAAAATAAATTATAATAATAAAACGTTACCGATTTCCCACAATCTGGAGGAACATTACAATTTTCATTATTTGTTTCATTACTTCCTACAAGTCCGCTGGATCCAATACCCAAATTGTTCAGAGTTAATTTTATTGATACACCAATACTTGAACATGAAAGAATTAATAAAATAATAAAAATTTTGCAAAACCAAAATTTCCAAGTTGGTTTTCCATCATTAACTAAAGGCATATCCCACACTTGTTCTAGACTAGTAAGTTGCGTTAAACTTCTCTCAACTGAAGGAATAGAATGATCAACTTGACCTTGAATTTTATCATCATTTTTTTCATTTTGTTGTGGTGTAATCGGCGAAGGATTCGGTATCGGATTTGGAGACGGATTATGTAGGTTTATTGGTGGATTTGGAGAAAATCTATCGTTAGGATTTAACGTTGTTATTCCTGGCGATGGTGTCACCATTTGATTATATGACGGGGGTTGAATTTTCGATTGCGGGGGTATTTGGTTATTTGGAAAATTTGACGATGGTATTTGATTATATGACGGTGATGGATAATATTTATTTTGTGATGGTTGTGATGGCCTCATTTGCATTTGATTATATGATAGTGGTGGAGAATATTTAGAGAATTCTCCTTTATTTTGTCTTTCATTATTACTTGATGAAGGAAAATTTGACGATGGTTTCAGTTGATTATACGACGGTGGTGGAGGAAATTTAGAGAATTCTCCTTTATTTTGTAATGGTTGGGATGGTCTTTCATTAATCATTTTATTTGTCGGAGGAAAATTTGGTGATGGCATTAAATGATTATATGGTGTTGATGGGGAAATATTTCCGTTAATCGGATAATTTGATGATGGAGGAAATTCATTATAAGGCCTATTCGATGATGGAGGATATTCTTTATAAGGTTTATTTGAGGATGGAGGAAATTGATGATTTTGCATCATATTCATTTGTGATGATTTGTGAATATTATGTTGATCTTGTAACGATGGAGGAGGATAAATTGAGGGTTGATTACCAGGAGAGAGATGAGAAACATAATTATAGACACCATTATTGTTGTTATTGTTTTTATTATTACGTAACTGACTTTCTTGAAACAATTGATGTTCTTTAGATAGATTTGGCCTTTCATACGAATATTGTTGCTGTTGTTGATATCTATTGTCATTTCTTCGACCACTATTCATTCCTCCAGGTGCATAATAATTTGAACCTTCCATCGTGATTGAATTTTTATTATTTTGCGTTTACTCTTTATATGTGTATATATTTTTATATAAATGAATGCAATAAATATAAATAACGCGGAATTTTCTTTAAAAGAAAAAAAAAAAAATTATAAATTTCAATCATATTTATAACCTTTTGTTGTTTATATTAATTAAAAAAAAAAAAGAAAAAAAGAATAAAATAAAAGAAAATTCTAACAACATGATTCATTTCGCGTAACAAATACATGAGTAACAACATTAAAGTCAGTTTTAAGAATTTAACGTAAGATTGAATAAGCACACTAGATTACTTGTGTAAAATGTTAATTTTTTTTTAGAAGACAAAGAATTTTATCAATCTAGGTTATTAATTTAATTTTTGTTACACCATTGTTAACCACTTATGTTGATCATTTTTCTAAAGATTCACCATATTTGTATAAAAATTATATTATTTATACTAATTGAAAAGAAAGAAAAAAAAGCCAATTATTCAGGAACTTTCTTTTATGTACCTTATTTAAATTATCTATTCAGTTGCATATTAATTGAGATTAAAAAGTCCGATAAATATCGGAATGTGGGTTAGGGTTAGGAGTTAGCCATTTAAGGGGTTAGGTAAATTAAATACAGTACATATATGGACATTGATGATTGGGATGATCAAACTCAATGAAAAATATAATAATTAGGATCAAACTCAAGTGTAACTGCAAGACAAAGAATAAGGATTAGTGTGATGGATTGCGCCATAAATTTCTGCAAATAATATGCAACGTCCATAGTTAACTACTGAATTGTTTTTGATATAAATATTTATTTCATTGTGATAAAGAAAATATTACTACGGAATATAATTTCCACTTTCATTACAAGAAAAACATACCTTTAATAATATGCTCTCATAAGATACTCCTCGTTTCGTTGCTTACGTTTTTTATTATAATTGCCATGTCAAATAATCTTTTTTTTTTTCGGTAATTAATATCTTTGAATTTCTCAGATGGGAATATATATTGAATGATTTCAAATAGTTACATAATGTAATTACATAATGTCAAAGGCACACCCGGATATTTCGGCCACATTATTTATGAAACTGTCATTCCATAAAATAAGTTATATGATCGGTTTCAATTTTTCATGAACAAGGATTAATCATTTAAGAATATTCTAAATAAATTAATTTGTGAAAACTATCATTTTATTCATTTTATTTTAAAAAATTATATAGCTATTTGATTTCTTGTATATATCCCAATTCTCCGATTTCCCATGACATAAACTGATGCTTTAACTCAAAGCAAGGTAAAGGCATCCACAGACCACAGATAAGCCAATACGTTACAACCGATCATTTCAGCATTTTCGGCACGAGTGTTTGTAGGATGTCTGTAATCAAATGATTATTAACTTCCGTAAATTTTGTTGACATATCGGGTTGTTACGCCTCCCCAATTTCACTTTTCCTATTTTGGAAGTAAAGAAATCTAGTTGTAAGTGGCGGAGCAGAAAAAAAACAGTTACAAACGCACATTTGGAAATCATTACTCTTCATAAAAATATATTATGACTCCTATCTACACATAACATTTCATTTTAAGAAAAAAAAAAATTTTTTTTTTATTTTGATTTGTAGTTTATTCTCGGATGGACATTTATTTTTGCTTACCCGTCCACCTGTGGCTAAGCTAATTAAAATTAGTCATATTCTAACAAAAATATTTAAAGTATTATCTATTTTTATATCTGTTTTTCAATCTTAATATGTTAATTCGTGGCTTAATGAGGCTTTTGCAATTCTTATTGAACATTACCGATTGAAATTTTTTTTATTTAAAATTTACAAATAGGTTAAATTTTTAACATCTTACCTATTTCGCCATGTTTAGTGTAACAGGTTTCATTAGACGTTCTGGATTAGGTAGTATAAGTTGTTTTATAAAAATTAGAACTATTTCGAAATAATATCTTTTTCTTCCTCAAATATTTATCATAACGACATTGCAATTACTCCAGTTTTGAGTAGTAAAGTTTTTATGCAGCATATGATTATTTTGGAGATGTATGGCCTGTATTTGATGGTCTTAGAAATATTTTTACTGTTGAACAGTTTCCTTTTAGTGTTGCGGCTACTTTATATGTAACTCAATCAGAATTAAGAAGTCACTGAATTGATCAATAGCTTCCTTGACGGAAATTATTCTATATCACCAAATATTTTGACATATTAAAGTTATACTCATCATTATAGCTTTCCTTTTGCAATATTAGTTCTCCTTTACATAAAATTTAATTTTAACGTTAATTAGGCTCTTATTGTATATACCATCAACGACGCTTAAAGGCAGGGAGAGTATTTTGTACTAATCAGGGTTTATGACCTCTCAATGAGGAAGTAGAGGCTTGGCAAGGTTATTCTCAATCTATTAGGTAAACACCTATTAGAGGAATGATAAATATTGATAGTTTAATTACTTTAATATAAATAGTCTTAAAATTACTAAATAAAAGGTCCATTGAAGATTTTAGATACAGATCACCTAAAGCTTAAGAATTTTTTTTTATACCACACATGTTGAAAATTTATACCGCCAATTTAGAATTTTTATATTAACAAATACTTCAGCTTTTAATACTAATAATTATACCAATGTTACTTCATACTTTCAAAGGACATATAACATACATTACAATATCCGTTTCTTCTTTGCATTGTCATTCATTTACCAATGGAAGTATGTAATGTAGTTAGGTGTGTAAAACTAATCTTTACTCACTTAAGCTAACAGTTCACAGGGACAACATCATATGCGGCTGAATGATGGAATTTACTCGACAATCATCAATTATACGTGCTTATAAAATTAGACAAGGTATCAATGTTCTTATTTATCAACAAAACGAATATTTGGGTTGCGGATTTCTCGTGAAATGACACATTTCTAAAGAGGACACTTTCATTTCAAAGAATGGTTCATGGAATTTAAAGAATAAAAAAGATGCCAATGGTGCACCCTTGGTTCATATGCTGTTTTTGGAAATAAATTAATTTTCTGATTGTAGCTGTATAATTATTTATTAGAAAATTATTACAATATGTTCAAGATTCTGAAATGAATATTCTAAATAGGAATCCATATACAACACTGTAATCCTCAAAGTGACATTGTAAATTCTTCAAAGCAAGTTTGGCTTAAGACTAGGAAATACGGCTAGAGCACAGCCTCAATCAATTTTATGTATTCTTCCTAATACTGGTGTACCATTGTATGTCGAAATTAAGCGATACAGTAATTGATATCGCTATCAATGTATTCAGAGCAGGCGCATGTATAAGCCCTAATGCTTGTCTTAAACTAAATGTTAAACTTTGTGATACGAATTCATTCATTAATCCAAATCAAATATTCTAATTACACGTTCAACTATAATAATGGGTTACTAGTTCGTCTATCTATTGTTGCTTTACGATATATACATATATATAGTATATGTGCAAAAGAATCTAGATGTGTTGCTTCAATTCGCGTTCAAACTGCCAGTCAGAATACTATTAGTGATTGATTTGACCGAAATGGCTAAGGAACTATTAAAAATTTCTCTGAGACCAGAAAAATCGTATTTTGTTCTATCGAGCTCAAGCCAATTCCCTCAAGTGCTAAATAAATAATGAGGTAAATGCAATGAAAGGTATATTTATATTTTGTAAATAATTGATACTTCAAACACTATTAACATTTTTTAAATAAATATTTAGCTGCGTGGTCATTCGCTTGATGTAAATTACAGATCATTTACTATGAGCTTTTGTAGTTGTACAAAAATGCCATCACGCTCGTTTTTTCCCAATAAATAAAGAAAATTCTGATAAAATAGAAACTGACCTGGTACGGTAGGTGAAACAATAGTAGTGCATCCTTTGAACTTGACTTTTGTCTTCTAAGTCACCCAGGGATTTCACGTCCAACACATTATCACGTGTTATTTGATGAAATGAGTTCACTCACTTCAAATATTAACATACAATTTGTGCTATTCCTTTACTCGTGCTGTTTTTATTTTTCTACCAGTATCTTATACTCATTTAGTTTGTTGTAGGGCAAAACTTCACTTAAATGTTAAAAATTGAAGCGACCCAGTAGTCAATTATGCTGCGGTAAAATCTCAGCTATGTATTTTATATTTTATTTTATATATAAATAAATATATATATTACTTATTAATACTAGTCTAGTTACAGGAAAATCATAAATATGAAAATCTCATTATTATATATTGGGAATCTTTAAAATAATGTTATATAATCCGCAAGTTTAGTTCGTGGCTTAAAAGGCTTTGCGTTTTCTTATCGATTGAATTTTTTAATACTATTTAAACATGCAAATCGATTGAATTTATTTTTTAATATCTTAACCCATTTCCCCAATCGTCCAAATAATGTTTAATGTAACTGAATTCGGCAAACGTCCTGGTTTTGGTCGTTTAGGTCGTCCTATAAGAATTAGAACAAACTATTTCGAAATAACAAATTTTCCTGACTCCAATATTCATCATTACGACATTGTAATTTCCCCAGAAGTTCCTCCAACTTTGAATAGAAAAATTTTTCAAATAGCTACTGAAAATTCTTTTTATGGTATAAAAGCTATATTTGATGGTCGTAGAAATGTTTATACTATCAGACCGTTTCCTTTTGGTGATGCACAAGCATTAGATGTGACTATACCAGAGGATAATGCGAGTAGAAGAATTCCACGTATTTTTAAAATGAAGATTAAGAAAGTCAATGAAATTAATATGGAAGAGGTCTATAGATTTCTTGACGGACGTAGTTCTATATCATCAAATATTTTAACAGGTTAAAATAATTTCTTTTCACAATTAATTGAAATATTTCCTTTACTTAAAATTTATTTTAATGTTAAATAGGCATTATGGTTCTTAATGTATTGATTCATCATAAACCATCAAGGGAGTATTTAAAAGTAGGGAGAGTATTTTACACTAATCAAGGTTCACAATCTCTTAGTGGAGGGGTGGAGGTTTGGCAAGGATATTTTCAATCTATTAGACCAACACCTAGGAAATTGATGATAAATATTGATTTACATGCTACTGCTTTTTATGAAAGTGATAGTTTAGTACAATTAGTTGTAAAAATACTCAATAAGAGGTCCGTTGAAGATCTTAGAGAGATTCAAGAAAGAGATCGTGTAAAGCTTGAAAAATGTTTAAAGAACCTAAAGATTTATGTCACTCATCGTGGTGAAAGTGCTCCGAGACGCCGATTTAAAATTACTAAATTAACTAATACTCCAGCTTCTAGTACTATGTTTGAAGTTAATGGTCAACGTATCGATGTTGTTACTTACTTTAATAATACATATGGTAGAAGTCTACAATATCCGTTCCTTCCTTGCGTTATTGTACGAATGAATTCTTATTTACCAATGGAAATATGTAATGTAGTGGGGGTATGTAAAACTAATATACTAATCAATATGGATTAAAATTATTTTTTAATGTAACTTGTGTAATATTTGTTAGGGACAACGTTATATGCACAAATTGAACAAAAGACAAATAGCGGAAATGATTAAATTTACTCGTCAACCACCTTCATCACGTGCTGATAAAATTAACCAAGGTCTCCAAATTCTTGATTATCGACAAAACGAGTATATGCAACAATTTGATTTTCGGGTATCTACTGAAATGACAATAACTCAAGCAAGGGTATTACCTGCTCCAACATTACATTACCATTCTGCTTCTAAAGAGGATACTTTCATTCCAAAAGATGGCTTATGGAATTTAAGGAATAAGAAAGTTGCCATTGGTGCAACACTTAGTTCATGGGCATGTGCTGTTTTTGGAAGTGAAAGAGATTATCCAATAGGCACTATACAAAATTTCATTAGAGAATTGGTTAACACGTGTCAAGATGCTGGAATGAATATTCCAAATAGAAATCCACCTATATTACACTGTAATCCTCAAGGCGGTATTGAAAATTCTTTAAGACAAGTTTGGGTTAGGGCTGGAAACTCGGCTAAATCTAAGCCTCAATTAATTTTATGTATTCTTCCCAATATTGGTGGTATATTGTATGCCGAAATTAAACGCGTTTGCGATACATTAATTGGGGTTGCTACGCAATGTATTCAGAGCAGACACATAATGCGCGCAATAAGAATATATTGCGCCAATGTTTGTCTTAAAATAAATGTTAAACTTGGTGGCGAGAATTCATTCATTGATCCAAGCCAAATTCCCTTCATTACACAACGTCCAACCATCATAATGGGTGCAGATGTTACTCACCCTGCTCCTGGAGAACAGAATACCCCATCCATTGCTGCTGTGACTGCTTCAATGGACGCAAAAGCATCTCGATATGCTGCTTCAATTCGTATTCGATCTGGCAGACAGGAAGTTATTGGTGATTTAGCAGAAATGGTTAAAGAATTATTAAAAACATTTTATCAGACCTGTGGAAGAAAACCAGAACGTATTTTATTCTATCGAGACGGCGTTTCAGAAGGTCAATTTTCTATAGTATTAAATGAGGAAATCAGGGCAATAAAAGGTATGTATTTATTATTATTATGAATCATTTTATAGTAATATTTCACTTAAATTGTCAACAAACATTTAGACGCATGCATGTCACTTGACGGGAGATATAAACCAACAATAACTTTTGTAGTTGTGCAAAAACGTCATCACACTCGTTTTTTTCCAATTGATACTGGAATAGATGGAGATAGAACAGGAAATTGTCCTTCTGGTACAGTAGTTGATTCAACAATAGTACATCCTTTTGAGTTTGACTTTTATCTTCAAAGCCACCCTAGTTTACAAGGGATTTCACGTCCGGCTCATTATCACGTATTACTCGATGAAAACGGTTTCAATGCAGACTCACTTCAAACATTAACATACAATTTGTGCTATAATTTTGCTCGATGCACTCGTGCAGTTTCTATTGTTCCACCAGTGCATTATGCTAGTTTAGTTTGTCGTAGAGCAAGATTTTATGCAAGTGGTGAAAATTGGAGCAATCCAGATACTCCAGAAGGTGTAGGAAGTGCCAGTTATGGTGTTGTAAAATCTGAATTACTAAAAACTATGTATTTTATATAAAGTTAATAAAGTACTAAAATTATTTATATTTGCAGTACTTATTAATAGTATAGCTGCAAAAGTCTTATAACAATTATAGATGTATTTTAAATACAATTTGACAACATATAAAAAAAATGTTAGTTGAACAATTTGTGGAAATCTTTTAAAAAAAAATACTCATTGTGCCTCAGGGTTTGGTTCGTGGCTTAATAAGGCTTTGCAATTTCTTATCATTGATATTTTAATATTTAAACAATAAACATACCAATTGATTGAATTTTTTTTAATATCTTATTCTTCTGATCGTCTAAATGATGGCTAATATAACTGAATTCGTCAAACGTCCTGGTTTAGGTCGTTTAGGTCGTCCTATAAGAATTAGAACAAACTATTTCGAAATAACAAATCTTCCTGCCTCCAATATTCATCATTACGACATTGATATTTCACCAGAAGTTCCTCCAACTTTGAATAGAAAAATTTTTCAAATAGCGGAAAATTCTTTTTATGGTATAAGAGCTGTATTTGATGGTCGTAGAAATGTTTATACTATCAGACCGTTGGATGTACATACATTAGATGTGACCTTACCAGAGGATAATACGATTAGAAGACCTCCACGTATTTTTAGAATAAGAATTAAGAAAGTCAATGAAATTCATATGGAAGAGATCAATAGATTTCTTAACGGACGTGGTTCTATATCATCAAATATTTTAACAGGTTAATATTTATTTATTATAACATCATTTTTGTAATATCACCTTACTTAATTAAATTTCTAATTAGGCATTATGGCTCTTAATATATTGATCCGTCATGTTCCATCAACGACACTTAATAGTGTAGGGAGAATATTTTATACTAATCAAGATTCACGACCTCTTAGTGGAGGGGTAGAGGCTTTGCAAGGATATTTTCAATCTATTAGACCAACACCTAAGAAATTGATGATAAATGTTGATTTACATGCTACTGCTTTTTACGAAAGTGATAGTTTAGTACAATTAGTTGTAAAAATACTCAATAAGAGGTCCGCTGATGATCTTAGAAGGATTCACGATAGAGACCGTACAAAGCTTGAAAAATGTTTAAAAAATTTAAAAATTTATGCTACTCATGATGAAAATGCTTTAAACCGCCGATTTAGAATTTTTAAAGTAACTAATACTTCAGCTAGTAATACTATATTTGATGATAATGGTAATCAAACTGATGTTGCTTCATACTTCCAAAGAAAATATAATATACAATTATTATATCCATTCTTTCCTTGCATTGTTATTCGAAGTGGAACTTATTTACCAATGGAAGTATGTAATGTAGTTGAGGTATGCATGTAAAACTAATATACTAATCAATATGGAACAAAATTATTTTTTTAACGCATTGTGTATTTGTTAGGGACAACGTTATATGCGCAAATTGAATGAAAGACAAACGGCAAATATGTCTAAACTTACTCGTCCACCTCAATCACATGCTAGTAAAATTAACCAAGGTATCCAAATTCTTAATTACCAACAAAATCAGTATATGCAACAATTTGATTTTCGGGTATCTAATGAGATGGCCATAACTCAAGCAAGAATATTGCCTGCTCCAAAACTACAGTATCATCCTACTTCAAGAGAGAGTATTTTCACTCCAAGAAATGGTTTATGGAATTTGAGGGATAAGAAAGTTGCCACTGGTGCAACGCTTGGTTCATGGGCATGCGCTGTTTTTGGAAATGAAAGAGATTATCCTATGAGCGCTATACAAATATTCATTAGAGAATTGGTTACCACATGTCAAGACACTGGAATGAATATTCCAAATAAGAATCCACCTATTCAACATTGTAACCCTCAGGGTCCAATTGAAACTTCTTTGAGACAAGTTTGGGTTAAGGCTGGAAACTTGGCTAAATCAAAACCTCAGCTGATTCTTTGTATTCTCCCCAACACTGGTGTACCGTTATATGCCGAAATTAAGCGTGTTAGCGATACCGTAATTGGCGTCGCTTCTCAATGTGTTCAGGGAAAACATATGTTTGCAGCAAAGAAACTATATTGTGCCAACGTTTGTCTAAAAATGAACGTTAAACTTGGCGGCATGAATTCATTTATTGACCCAATTCAAGTACCTTTCATCACACAGCGCCCGACTATCCTTATGGGTGCTAGCGTTACTCATCATGCTCCAGGCGCAGAAAATTCGGGTCGTCCATCTATTGCTGCTGTGACCGCTTCAATGGACGCAAAGGCATCTCGATATGCTGCTTCAATTCGTGTTCAAACTGGTAGACAGGAAGTTATTAGTGATTTAGCAGAAATGGTTAAAGAATTATTAAAAACATTTTATATGACCTGTGGAAGAAAACCGGATCGTATTCTATTCTATCGAGACGGCGTTTCAGAAAGCCAATTTTCTATAGTATTAAAGGATGAAATCAAGGCAATAAAAGGTATATATTTATTATTCTTTTAAGTCATTATAATAATATTTTACTTAAATTGTCAATAAATATTTAGAAGCATGCAAGTCTCTTGACGAGAAGTATAAACCAACAATAACTTTTGTAGTTATACAAAAACGTCATCACACTCGTTTTTTCCCAATTAATGCGAGAGATGGCGATAGAATAGGAAATTGTCCTTCTGGTACAGTAGTTGAAACAACAATAGTACATCCTTTTGAATTTGACTTTTATCTTCTAAGTCACCCTAGTTTGCAAGGGACTTCACGTCCGACTCATTATCACGTGTTACTTGATGAAAACGGATTCAATGCAGACTCACTTCAAACATTAACATACAATTTGTGCTATGTTTTTGCTCGATGCACTCGTGCAGTTTCTATTGTTCCACCAGTGTATTATGCTCATTTAGTTTGTGCTAGAGCAAGATTTCATGCAAGTGGTGAAAATTGGAGCGATCCAGATACTTCAGAAGGTGCGGGGGGAGTAGCCAGATATGCTGCTGTAAAAGCTGAATTACTAAAAGTTATGTATTTTATGTAAAGCCAATAAATCACCAAATTAATAATCTATCTACAAAATAAAAATCATAGTTATGAATATCTTACTATTATAATTTGACATAGAAATAAAATAAAATAAATAAATAAATATTATAATTTGACAAACATACATACTGTATATTAACCGATTTGTTAGAAAATTTTTAAAGTACTATTATATAATCCATTGTGCCTCAAGGTTTGGTTTTTGGCTTAAAAAGGCTTTGCAATTTCTTATCTATTGGAACTTTTTGTATTTAACATACGATTGATCGAATTTTTTTGATATCTTAGCTCATTTTTCAATTGTCCAAATAATGGCTAGTATAACAGAATTCGTTAAACGTCCTGATTTTGGTCGTGTAGGTCATCCTATAAGACTTAGAACAAACTATTTCGAAGTAATAGCTTTTCCTTCCTCAAATATTTACCATTACGACATTGTAATTATACCAGAAGTTCCTCCAACTTTGAATAGAAAAATTTTTCAAGTAGCAGAAAATTCTTTTCCCGGTATAAGAGCTGTATTTGATGGTCGTAGAAATGTTTATACCATCAGACCGTTTCCTTTTGGGGATGCACAAGCATTAGATGTGACTATGCCAGAGGATAATGCGGGTGGAAGAACTCCACGTACTTTTAAAATAATGATTAGAAGGGTCGCTGTAATTAATATGGAAGAGATCAACAGATTTCTTAACGGACGTGGGTCTATATCATCAAATATTTTAACAGGTTTAAATTTATTCATTATAATTTTCTTTCTACAATTAGTTGCAATATTTCCTTTACTTAAAATTTATTTTAATGTTAATTAGGCATTATGGTTCTTAATATATTGATTCATAACAAACCATCAAAGGAGCATATAAAAGTAGGGAGAGTATTTTACACTAATCAAGGTTCACGATCTCTTAGTGGAGGGGTAGAGGTTTGGCAAGGATATTTTCAATCTATTAGACCAACACCTAGGAAACTGATGATAAATGTTGATTTACATGCTACTGCTTTTTATGAAAGTGATAGTTTAGTACAATTAGTTGCAAAAAAACTCAATAAGAAGTCCGTTGATGATCTTAGAGGGATTCACAATAGAGATCGTACAAAGCTTGAAAAATGTTTAAAGAATCTAAAAATTTTCGACACTCACCGTGGTGAAGTTGCTTCAAGACGTCGATTTAGAATTTCTAAATTAACTAATACTCCAGCTTCTAGTACTAAATTTGAAGTTAATGGTCAACAAATTGATATCGCTACATACTTTTTTAATACGTATAATAAAAGACTACAATATCCGTTCCTTCCTTGCATTGTCATCCGAAGGGAAACTTATTTACCAATGGAAGTATGTAATGTAGTTGAGGTATGTAAAACTAACTGAATATACTAATCAAATATGAAAAAAAATTATTTTAATGTAACTTGTGTATTATTTGTTAGGGGCAACATTATATGCGCAAATTGAATGAAAGACAAACGGAAAATATGATTAAATTTACTTGTCAGCCCCCTTCATCACGTGCTAATAAAATTAGCCAATGTATCGAAGTTCTTAATTATAGACTAAATGAATATATGCAACAATTTGGTTTCCGAGTATCCAATGAAATGGCCATAATTCAAGCAAGGGTATTACCCACTCCAACATTACATTATCATCCTGCTTCTAAAGAGGATACTTTCATTCCAAAGGATGGTTTATGGAATTTAAGGAATAAAAAATTTGCCACTGGTGCAACGCTTGGTTCATGGTCATGTGCTGTTTTTGGAAGTGAAAGATATTATCCAATGGGTGCTATACAAAAATTCATTAGAGAATTGATTACCACATGTCAAGATACTGGAATGAATATTCCAAATAAGAATCCACCTATTCAACATTGTAACCCTCAAGGCGGTATTGAAACTGCTTTGAGACAAGTTTGGGTTAAGGCTGGAAACTTGGCTAAATCTAAACCTCAATTAATTTTATGTATTCTCCCTAATACTGGTGTATCATTGTATGCCGAAATTAAACGTGTTGGCGATACCGTAATTGGCGTCGCTTCTCAATGTGTTCAGGGAAAACATATGTTTACAGTAAAAAAGCAATATTGTGCTAATGTTTGTCTTAAAATAAATGTTAAACTTGGTGGCATGAATTCATTCATTAATCCAAGCCAAATGCCCTTTATTACACAGCGCCCGACTATCCTTATGGGTGCTAGCGTTACTCATCCTGCTCCAGGTGCAGAGAATATGGGTCGTCCGTCCATTGCTGCTGTGACTGCTTCAATGGACGCAAAAGCATATCGATATGCTGCTTCAATTCGTGTTCAAACTGGCAGACAGGAAGTTATTAGTGATTTAGCAGAAATGGTTAAAGAATTATTAAAAACATTTTATATGACCTGTGGAAGAAAACCGGAACGTATTTTATTTTATCGAGACGGCGTTTCAGAAGGTCAATTTTCTATAGTGTTAAAGGATGAAACCAAGTCAATAAAAGGTATATATTTATTAATATTTTAAGTCATTTTATAATAATATTTCACTTAAATTGTCAATAAATATTTAGAAGCATGTAGGTCTCTTGACGAGAAGTATAAACCAACAATAACTTTTGTAGTTGTACAAAAACGTCATCACACTCGTTTTTTCCCAACTAATGCGAGAGATGGCGATAGAACAGGAAATTGTTCTTCTGGTACAGTAGTTGATTCAACAATAGTACATCCTTTTGAATTTGACTTTTATCTTCAAAGTCACCCTAATTTGCAAGGGACTTCACGTCCGATGCATTATCACGTGTTACTTGATGAAAATGTATTCAATGCAGACTCACTTCAAACATTAACATACAATTTATGCTATAATTTTGCTCGATGTACTCGTGCAGTTTCTATTGTTCCACCAGTGTATTATGCTCATTTAGTTTGCGCTAGAGCAAGATTTCATGCAAGTGGTGAAAATTGGAGCGATCCAGATACTCCAGATACTCCAGAAGGTGCGGGAGTAGCCAGATACGCTGCTGTAAAAACTGAATTACTAAAGACTATGTATTTTATGTAAAGCTAATGAAGCACCAAAATTATTTATAATAGTACTTATTAATAATAGCCTATCCAAAAATTAAAAAATTATAGTTGTGAATATCTTACTAGTATATAGTATATTTTGGCATCAATAAAAAAATTTTATTTTAAACGATTTGTTGGAAATTTTTTTAAAAATACTATTATATAATCCATTGTGCCTCAAGGTTCGGTTCGTGGCTTAATAAGGCTTTGAATTTCTTATTAATACTATCGATTAATATTTTTTAAAAATTGAATTTTTTATCTTAACTCACTTTTATCATTCAATTCATGGATAGTAGTATAGCAGAATTCGTTAGACGTCCTGATTTAGGTCGTGTTGGTCATTCTATAAAAGTTCGAACAAATTATTTCGAAATAACGGATCTTCCTTTTCCAAAAATTTATCATTATGACATTGTAATTATACCAGAAGTTTCTCCAACTTCGAATAGAAGAATTATTCAAGAAGCAGAAAATTCTTTTTCTGGTGTAAAAGCTGTATTTGATGGTCGTAGAAATGTTTATGCCGTCAGACCGTTTCCTTTTGGTGATGCACATAATTTAGAAGTGACTATGCCAGAGAATGATATGAATAATGTGGGTATAATGCTTCCACGTGTTTATAAAGTTATAATTAGGAAAGTCGCTGAAATTGATATGAGAGAGATCAACAGATTTCTTAACGGAGATTGTTCTATATCATCAAATATTTTAACAGGTTAAAATTTATTCATTATAGTTTCTCTTTTTATAATTAGTTAAAATGTTTCCTTAAAATTTATTCTATTGTTAATTAGGCATTATGGCTCTTAATGTATTGATTCATCATAAACCATCAAAGGAGCATATAAAAGTAGGGAGAATATTTTATACTAATCAGGGTTCACAACTCCTTGATGGAGGGATGGAGGTTTGGCAAGGATATTTTCAATCTATTAGACCAAAACCTAGGAAAATGATGATAAATATTGATTTACATGCTACTGCTTTTTATGAAAGAGGCAGCTTAATACAATTAGTTGTAAGAATACTCGGTAAGAGTACCGTTGAAGATCTATGGAGGATTCAAGAAAGAGATCGTACAAAGCTTGAAAAATGTTTAAAGAATCTAAAAATTTTTGTCGTTCTTCGTTTTTCAAGACACCGATTTAGAATTTCTAAATTAACTAATACTTCAGCTTCTAGTACTACATTTGAAGTTAATGGTCAACAAATCGATATTGCTACATACTTTTTTAGTACGTATGGTAGAAGACTACAATATCCGTTCCTTCCTTGCGTTGTTGTACGAAATGAAACTTATTTACCAATAGAAATATGTAATGTAGTTGAGGTATATAAAACTGTCATATGTTCAATTACAGAGTATAAGAAAATTTTTTTTCTTTTTAACCGTATTTTATATTTACTAGGGGCAACGTTATATGCGCAAATTAAATGAAAGACAAATGGCGGATATGATTGAATTTACTTGTCAACCACCTCAAATACGTACTAATACAATTAACCAAGGTATCGAAATTCTTAATTATCGACAAAATGAGTATATATATCAATTTGGTTTTCAGATATCAAATGATATGGTTATAACTCAAGCAAGAGTATTACCTACTCCAACATTATATTACCATCCTGCCTCTAAAGAGGATACTTTCATTCCAAAAGATGGTTTATGGAATTTAAAGAATAAAAAAGTTGCCACTGGTGCAACGCTTGGTTCATGGGCATGTGCTGTTTTTGGAAGTGAAAGAGATTATCCAATAGGCACTATACAAAATTTTATTAGAGAATTGGTTAACACGTGTCAAGTTGCTGGAATGAATATTCCAAATAGAAATCCACCTATTCAACATTGTAACCCTCAAGGCGGTATTGAAAATTCTTTAAAACAAGTTTGGGTTAGGGCTGGAAACTCGGCTAAATCTAACCCTCAATTAATTTTATGTATTCTCCCTAATACTGGTGCACCATTGTATGCCGAAATTAAACGCGTTTGCGATACAGTAATTGGTGTTGCTACTCAGTGTATCCAAGGAAAGCATATGTTTTCAGCAAAAAAGCAATATTGTGCTAATGTTTGTCTTAAAATAAATGTTAAACTTGGTGGTATGAATTCATTCATTGATCCAAGCCAAATGCCCTTTATTACACAACGTCCAACTATCATAATGGGCGCATCTGTTATTCACCCTGCTCCTGGGGAACAGAATACCGGTCGCTCATCTATTGCTGCTGTCACTGCCTCAGTAGATGCAAAAGCATTTCGATATTTTGCCGCAATTCGTATTCAACACGGCAAACAGGTAGTTATTGATGACCTAGCCGAAATTATTAAGGAATTATTAAAAGCATTTTATCAGACTTGTGGAAGAAAACCAGAACGTATCTTATTCTACCGAGATGGTATTTCTGAAAACCAATTTTTAATAGTGCGAGAGAATGTAATCAAGGCAATAAATGGTATATATTCATTTTATATTTGATATTTCAAATACGCTTTACTTAATAAAACTATCTTACTAAATATTCAGCCGCATGCAAGTCACTTGACGAGAAGTATAAACCAACGATAACTTTTGTAGTTGTGCAAAAACGTCATCACACTCGCTTTTTCCCAATTGACACTAGAAGAGATGGCGATAGAACAGGAAACTGTCCTTCTGGTACAGTAGTTGATACAACAGTAGTGCATCCTTTTGAATTTGATTTTTATCTTCTAAGTCACCCTAGTTTACAAGGGATTTCACGTCCGGCTCATTATCACGTGTTATATGATGAAAACGGGTTCAATGCTGACTCACTTCAAACATTAACATATAATTTATGCTATAATTTTGCTCGATGCACTCGTGCAGTTTCTATTGTTCCACCAGTGTATTATGCTCGTTTAGTTTGTCGTAGAGCAAGATTTCATGTAAGTGGTGAAAATTGGAGCAATCGAGATACTTTAGAAGGTATAGGAAGTGCAAGTTATGCCGTTGTAAAGTCTGAATTACTAAATTTTATGTATTTTGCGTAAAGATGACAAAGTATTTTGTGAATATATTTGAATTTAACATAGTTTACTATATCATGTTTTGTAAATTTCAACTTTCTTGACACATACTTTAGTTCAATAAAGTTACAGAATTATAATAAATATTTCGAATTTTCGATTATAAACTTCAGCGTCATACTAAAAATTAGTTAAAAAATAACCAAATACTATAAAATAAGAAAAAAACGAAATTTTTTTATCTAATCTTAGTTAAAATATTTTAATCGCGTTGAAATAATCAAAATAGAATTACTGAGCAAAAAAAAAAAATTTTTGGTTTTTTAAAACTGACGTTTAATTAGGCCAAATCCGGTGACAATATAAAAAGTATGCTTAACTTATTTAAGTAAATAAATGCTGATTCAAGTACACAGTCACAAAAAATTAAAATTCAATATCCTGTTTTCATTCCTTATTTTATGTCAATATCCCAATATTTATTTATGGCTTAGTGAGGCTTTGCTATTTACTATCGAATATAACTGAAACTTTTTGGACGTGAAATTTATAAATTTATAAAATGATTGAATTATCGATGTCTTACTTACTATATTTGTGTTCATAACCATAAAATCTGAATAAATCATATCACGAAACCATTTCGCCAAATCGCTGAACTTATGGAAGTAATATCTTTGTTTACAGAATTTGTTAAACGTCCTGGTTTAGATAAATTAGGACGTCCTATAAGGCTTAGAATAAACTATTTCGAAATAACAGATTTTCCTTTCAATAATGTTTACCATTATGAGATTGTAATTTTACCAGAAGTTCCTCCAACTTTAAATAGAAAAATTTTTCGAGTAGCAGAAGATTCTTTTTTGGGGTAAAAGTTGTATTTGATGGAAATATTTATACTTCTAGACAGTTTACTTTTGGTGATATACATACTCTAGATGTCAGATGTGACTATGCCAGAGGATAATACGAATAATGTGGATAGAAGACCTCCACGTATTTTTAAAATAAGAATTAAGAAAGTCGCTGAAATTCATATGGAAGAGATCAATATGTTTCTTGACAGACGTGGACTTATGACATTAAATGTTTTAACAGGTTAATATTTATAATTTTTCTTTTCACAATTAAAATAGTACTTAAAATTTAATTTTAACGTCAATTAGGTATTATGGCTCTTAATGTATTGATTCATCATATGCCATCAATGATGCTTAAAAGACGGGGTGAATATTTTGTACTAATCAGGGTTCACAATCTCTTAATGAGGGAGTAGAGGCTTGGCAAGGTTATTTTCAATCTATTAGACCAACGGCTAATAGAATATGATGATAAATATTGATTTTCATGCTACCGCTTTTTATGAAAGTAGCAGTTTAACACGGATAGTGAAAAAAGTGCTTAATAAAAGGACCATTGAAGAACTTAGAGATATTTCAGAGAGAGATCGACTAAAGATTGAAAATTTTTTAAAGAATTTAAAAATTTATGCCACTCATGATGAAAATGCTTTAAACCGCCGATTTAGAATTTCTAAAGTAACTAATACTTCAGATAGTAATACTACTACATTTGATGATAATGGTAATCAAACTGATGTTGCTTCATACTTTCAAAGAAAATATAATATGCAATTACAACATCCATTCCTTCCTTGCATTGTCATCCGAGAGGAAACTTATTTACCATTGGAAGTATGTAATGTAGTTGAGGTATGTAAAACAACATATTAATCAATATGGAATAAAATTATTTTTAACGCATTGTGTATTGTTAGGGACAACTTTTTATGCGCAAATTGAATGAAAGACACGGCAAATACAGTATGATTGTCAACCATCTCAATCACGTGCTAATAAAATTAACCAAGGTATCGGAATTCTTAATTATCAACAAAATGAGTACTATATGCAGCGATTTGATTTTCGGGTATCTAATGAGGTGGCTATAACTCAAGCAAGAATATTTCCTGCTCCAAATTACAGTATAACCTTACTTCTAGAGATAGTCCAAGAAATGGTTTATGGAATTTGAGGGATAAGAAAGTTGCCACTGGTGCAACAACTTGGTTCATGGGCATGTACTGTTTTTGGAAGTGAAAATGATTTTCCTATGAGCGCTATACAAAAATTTATTAGAGAATTGGTTACCACATGTCAAGATGCTGGAATGAATATTCTAAATAGGAAACCACCTATATAATACTTTAATCTTCTGGGTGATATTGAAAATTCTTTAAAGCAAGTTTGGCTTAAGGCTGGAAACGATGCTAAAGCACAGCCTCAATTAATTTTATGTATTCTTCCTAACACTGGTGTATCATTATATGATGCCGAAATTAAACGCGTCGGCGATACAGTAACTGGTGTTGTTACTCTATGTATTCAGAGCAGGAATATGTTTGCAATAAAAAAGCAATATTGTGTTAATGTTTATCTTAAAATAAATGCTAAACTTGGTGGTATGAATTCGTTCATTAATCCAAGCCAATTGCTCTTCGTTTCAGAGAGTCCAACCATCATATTGGGTGCATCTGTTATTCACCCTGTTCCTGGTGATACCAGTCGTCCATCTATTGCAGCTGTGGCTGCTTCAATAGATGCAATGGCATCTCGATATGTTGCTTCAATTCGTGTTCAACAAGAAGTTATTAGTCATTTAGCAGACATGACTAAATAATTATTAAAAACATTTTATCAGACTTGTGAAAGAAAAGCGGAACGTATTTTATTTTATCGAAACGGTGTTTCCGAAGGCCAATTCCTTGCAATGCTATAGTATGAAATCAAGGCAATAAAAGGTACAGTATATATTTATTATTTCGTCATTTTATAATGAGATTTCAAATACGCTTTACTTAAATTGTCTTAATAAACATTTAGTTGTATGCAAATCACTTGAAGTGACCTTTGTGGTTGCGCAAAAACGTCATCACACTCGCTTTTTTCCAATTGATAAAAAAGATGGTGACAGAGCAGGCAACTGCCTCCCTGGTACGGTAGTCGAATAAACAATAACTCAAGATTTGATTTTTATCTTCAAAGCCACACTAGTTTGCAAGGGACTTCACGTCCGACTCATTATCGCGTGTTGTTTGATGAAAATGGATTCAGTTCTGATGCACTTCAAATCTTAACATATAATTTGTGCTATTCTTTTGCTCGATGCACTCGTGCAGTTTCTATTGTTCCATCAGTGTATTATGCTCGTTTAGTTTGTCGTAGAACAAGATTTCATTGCAAATGCAAGAGGTACCAGTTATGCTACTGTAAAACCTGAACTACTAAGGGTTATGTATTTTATGTAATAATAACCAGATACTGTATTTCGTGAATATATTCCAGAATTATCATTAGTTTATATCATGTTTATAGAATTCAACTTTTTGTAGCATATATTTTTTCAATAAAGCTGTAGAATTACAAAATTTTTTTCGATTGTAAGATTTTTGATGATATACCGAATAAAAAAAGGTTAAAGAATAATCTCAAAATAATTAGAATAGACTAAAAAATTTGATTAGAAAATTTGCTAAAACTTAACCAATCAAAATTTTACTTATTTTATTTAGTTTTAAGTAAATTTTCTTATCCAAATTATTAATTAGACCGGATCAAATTAAATATTGAAGGGACAACATTTAATAGAGAGAAAAAAAAATGTGAATTCATTATACTTTTTGATTTTCGTTGTCTTAAATCGTAAAAATTCATATCTTATTTTGTGTCAATGCCTCAATGTTTGTTCGTGGATTGACAACTTCGTACTGAATATAACTGAATTATTACAGTTTAATCTTTAAATTTACAAAATGATTGAATTTCAATGACACACATTATGATTATAACCATAAAATTATAATATTTTGAGATGAATTATACATCAAGGAACGAAAAAAATGTCTAATATAATATGTCAGAATTTGTTAAACGTCCTAGTTTAAGTCGTATAGACCGTCCTATAAAAGTTATAATAAATTGTTTCGAAGTAACGGCTCTTCTTTACCCTAAAATTGTATAACTTTGTAGTTATACCACTTGTTTCATTAACTTTAATAGAAAACTTTCAAATAGCAGAAAAATCATTTTATGGCGTAAGAGCTGTATTTGGTGGGCGTTGTAAAGTTATACTGCCAAACAGTTTCCATTCGGTTATACACATACATATTTTAGATGTAATTATTTCAGAGGATGATGCAAATAATGAGTAGAAGATTTCCGCGTTCTTTTAAATTCAATTAAGAAGGTTCGCTGAAAATTTATATAAAAGATATCGTAAGCTTAATTAATGAAAATTGTTCACTAACATAAAAAAACTAGTAAAAAAACATAAAAACTTTTAACAAGTTAAATTAAATTAATATCCCTCTTACTTAAATCTAATTTTGATGTTAATTAGGTATTATGGCTCTTAATGCATTAACCCTATGAAGCTTAAAAGAGTAGGAGAATATTTTGTACTAATCAGGGTTCACGACCTCTTAGTGGAAAGTAGAGGTTTATTTTCAATCTATTAAGCCAACACCTAGGAAAATGATAATAAATATTTATATTCATGATACTGGTTTTTATGAATGTGGTAATTTAATAAATATAGGATTAAAATTGCTCAATAAAAGATCAATTAAAGATCTTAAAATTAAAAGTTTAAAGAATTTAAAAATTTATGTCATACATGATGAAAAGGCTTTAAACCGTTAATTTATTAACTAATACTCCAGTCTCCATATTACATTCGATGATAGTGATTGGTAATCAAACCGATGCTGCTTTATGAACGTATAATGTACAATTACAATATCCATTTCTTCCTTGCATTGTTATCCGAGGAGAGACATATTCACCAATGGAAGTACTATGTAATGTAGTAGAGTATGTAAAACTAATATATAATATATATGTGCAGATTTATCAATTACCTCAATCACGTGCTAATAAAATTGACAATATCATATTTGCAACAATTTGGTTCTCGAGTATCTAATAACTGAAGATGGCTCCAAAATCACATTATCATCCTTCTTCTCCAAGATATTGGTTTCATGAAATTTGAGGGATAAAACAGTTGCCAACTAGTGCAACATTTGTTGCACAGACATGTGTTGTTTTTGGAAATGAAGAAGAAATACAAGAATTCATTAGAGAATTAGCCACCACATGTTAAGATACTAAAATGAATATTTCAAACATACAAAGCAGTAATCCTCAAGGCTCAAGGTTAGACTTGACTAGATCAAAGTCTGTGTTTCCTGGTATTGGTGTGCGTGAACAATACAGTAATTGATGTTGCTACCCAAATAATGTATTCAGGGCAGGCATATGTTTTAATATATATATATATATATATCAGAAAAAAAAAACAATATTTTGCTAATATCCTGAGTGTATCTGTTTCTCACCCTGCTCCTGGTATACTCATCTATTGTTGCTGTGAACTACTTCAATGAATACAAAGCATCTCGGTATGCTGCTTCAATTCGTGTTCAAATTGGTTATTGTTGAAATGATTAAGGAATTATTAAAAACATTTTATCAGACTACTGGAAGAAACCGTATTTATTCTATCGTTGTTTCAGAGAGTAAATTCTAGCAAAATTCTTCAATCCATCATCGGAATGATCAAAATAGAATTATTGAGACGAAAAAATTTGGATAAAAAAAATGACTACTCAAATATTAATCGGCTTTCAGCTTAAATTTTTATATTATTTGTATATCATAATAAATAAATGTTGTGAGTGCATTAAAACATCTGCAATACTCCAATTTAAATACATTCTCAGCTCAAGAAAATTTTGTTATCTCTGATCAAATTGTCAATATAATTATATACGTATGAAACAATTGAATAAAAATTTCTATTGGTCATTTACTTGCTCATGAGTATTTGTTGTTTTCGAAAACCTTAATAATTGATTAAGATATTGGAGTAAATAGAGTAAATACTCTAACTTAATAATCGTCTGCTGCTTAGTTCGTGAATTATATTATATTCAGCTAGCTTACGATTATTACTATTGATACATAATAACTTTTTCCTTTTAAAATAAGAATTTTTATATTGTTTATAGAAAACGGTGATTGATACCATCGTTCTTATTCGAAAAGAATTGAAAATAAGAATGTGAAATTTGGAAATTTTTATTCTCATGTAACATTAATGTAAAGAACTTCTCATCATTATGATCATATAAAAGCAAATATTAGGTCAAAGGTATAAAACAACTATATTATACATTCATCTATTGAATACGGAAAATTGAAAAATTAAATATCGAGGAATGAAAAGGTTTAGAAGAGTTTTCTTTTTGGTGTGAAAAAAAAAGAGTTACAGCACCCAGTATTCCCACGTTGTCCCCAACCGTAGTACTGACTGGGCCATCAGTGGCTTAACTTCGGAGATCGGACGGGTTCCGGTGCTTTTCACTGTGTATGGCCGTAACTTGAAAGTTAATTTAAATTCTAATCATTTAAAAAAATCAAATCTTGAAATTTATTCAAATTTTATTGCGTGATTAATTAATTTTCGAATATTTGATGAGGAGTTAATAACAATTCAATTAAATATATATATTTTTTTTGTATATGTACAGTATATATTTACATATTTATTGAATATTTATACAATTATACATCATTTTTCTACAACGGTTCCTCAATTTATAATATATACATACATATTCGGCCCGGTAATTTGACAGCATTTTGACAGCTACGCTATCTAATCGCACTTGTTTTTATCTATTAATGAGACATTGTGATACGAAAATAGAGAAATCTTCGTCACGTGCCAACAATCCGCTAAACCACCGGTATGCCGTTTAGAGGAATATCCTTTTTTGTTAAAAATCATGATTTTCTTTGTGTTGTTATTAGGAATAGCCGTAATCCAAATTTGTCATTTGAAACGATAGAAGAATGATATTCATCTCAATCTCCTATAATCTTTGAAACCATTTAGCCCATTGAGGGGACTATGGAAACAAAATGTCCTTTAATGATATCATCAATAATAAGGATCGTTGTATAATACTTATTATGTCATTGGGCGTTAATAAATAAATTCTCCCAAATTTTATATTTTTTTGTGGCTTTATTCCGTTTTTTTTATACGTTTTTACACTTGATCTATCTAATAGGTATTAAATTTAAAAAATTTATTATTTCCGAATTAATATAAACATTTCCAAAAACACACTTTCGTTGTGCAAAATTTTTTATGCATTTGGATTTACTTATTGATTCGGTTAATAAAATTAACTAATTTGATCACATGTTACTCATATTAAAAAAAATTTATTATTTCAAAGCCACCCTCAATTTTCATTTATAGAATTGATAATGATAATTATAAAATAAAAAATTTTTTGAAAAAAAAAAAGAAATGATGAAAAGTTTGTTAATATCCTTTTTTTTTCTTTTCTTTAAGAAAACCTTTTTTTTTTTAACCTAATTTCAAAACCCATATTTTTTTTTTTATATTTTGTTTTGTTTATTATTAGTATATTACTGGTTACATAATTTACAACAAAAGTTAACAATGTCACCAATACAACCAAATAATAATACTACTCCCTCAATAAAAATTTTTACTCCCCCATCGTCACCAACAACAATGGCAACAACGACAACGACAACGACAACAGGGCAAACGGAAGAATGGGATAGTGTTGACGATTTTTCTGTAGATTCTTTACCTGCTGAAGAATCTTCTTCTTCTTCAACTAATCAAAGCCCTTTTACACCCGGCTCACCACCAGAAGAAATAAATGGGGAAGAAATAAATGAATATGATATGCCAAAGAATAATTCTTCTGCAGAACTTTTACAAAAAGTTGGGTTAGTTGATAATGATTTGATTCGACCTTTTATATATCTGAAATATTAGAAAAAAATTTTTTAAGGTTTGACTTGATTCCTAAAACGGAAAATTAAACAATATATCCGTGTCTGTCTCTTATACACATCTAGATGTGTATAAGAGACAGATATATATATATGAAAAGTCATTGGTTCTATAATTCGCGATTAATTCAATACATGAAATCAGATGAAAGATCTAGAGTGAAACATAATTATTCGACGGAATCAATATGGATGCTTGGAGTAGAATATAAATTTACAGGTAAAATTAAAGATCTCCTGATATAATGTTCCCAATTCTTGACTTTATGTATAATTGGATCAAGTCAATTCTGTAAATGCGTGTGTGCCACTTAGAGGACGGTGGAACGGTTAACCTCCCGAAACCCGATAGGGGAGAACATGCTCGAGGCGGACGGGCATCATCCTTATTGAATTATATGTTTGGTTCATCGGAAGAAGATGAGGATTATAATGATATACAGAGTAATCATGAACGCCATCATAGCGATGATTTTATACGTACTCATAAATTGGGCAAGTCGCGTTCTTTTTCACAAGCTCCTCATGAAATTGATTTTCAGCAACAACAACAGCAGCAGCAGCAACAACAAATAGGATTATTTTTATTACCAAAACCAAAACCTAATTCACCCCCTGGAGTGATTAGACGGTTAAGATCGCTTTCACTTTCTCGTAGATCACCACCACCAGATCAAAAATCACAAACTCCAGAATCTTCACCTCCAAAAAATGATAGTCGTATTTTACCTGGTAAAAAAATAAGGTCATTGTCTTCTAATAGAAAACAAGATATATCTGATTCATTAAATTACGAAATAAGATCATCATCATCATCATCCAATTTGCAAAAGGAGATATTTTCAGAGTCACTAACGAACAATTCTGATCAATCGAAACGATTATCTCTGGGTCCAAATCTTTTACGTAAATATTCTTCATATGATAATCAAGAATTTTTGGGATCTAATTCTCAAGATAAAAAGCCTCGAAGAAGGACTTTTAGCATCTTTTCTGGTAGAGAGAAACCTAAATCTTCACCTTCAACACGACTTTATCCACACATGGAAACAGAAACAGATTATGATCCAAAGTATCTACATGATGATTCAAAACGATCAAGTTTTGGAGATATATGTTTTAGTTCAGAAGATGAAAATGAAAGTAACAGTAGTGATACAATATCGAGACCTTCTGAAGACATAGATGTAGGAGGTCTATCCGGTGATAATATATCTGCTGAAACTGTGACACGTGAATCGACGAATTCATCGGATTATCCTGGAGTTTCTATTCCCAAAAATAACTTTCCTAAGGACATTGAAGTTTCTAATTATTCTAATGATAAACAAAAAGATCGATCAATAATATCGATTCAAACAGATATGTGGGTTCCTCAAAAAACAACGGAAACAGGTTCAGTAAGGTCTTTACCCCCAACTCCAACAAGTTTATATTGGCCTGATTCACTTGGACAATTAAATTCCAATCAACAAAAACTGTTGGATTTTTTATTGGATTTTCAGTCAAGGATATTTTGTTGCTATCGAAAAGAATTTCCTCCAATTGAACCTGCATTTCACACTACAGATACAGGATGGGGCTGTATGCATAGAACAGGTCAAAGTTTATTAGCACAAGGATTTTTATGGGTATTGCTAGGAAGAGGTAAATAGTCGTTTGATGATTAAATAAATTATTTGTGTATATATTATTAAAGTTATTTTTTTTTTAAAAAAAAAAAAAAAAATTATTTTAGATTGGCGGTTACATAAGTTACAAACGGAACATGATGTATTAATATATAGAAAGGTATTTGGAAAGGAGGAATTAACTTAGCTATTATTCTCCTTTTAAATTTAACGAGAAATATGATTGATTTCTATTAGATTTTGCGTTGGTTTATGGACGGGCCTGAGCCAGAACAGTATTATTCAATCCATAATATTGCCCGTGTAGGAATGTCATTGGATAAGAAAATTGGCGATTGGTTTGGACCGGCTACTGTTGCTCATGCATTGAAGTGAGTTTCTGATCTTCTATGCGTGATTGATTTAAAAGTGATTTAATTAATTTATTATTACTTTCTTTATTTGTTAGGCGATTGTCGTTGACTCATAAAGAATGTCCTTTAGCCATTTATGTACCAACAGACAATACTATTTACCGTAGTGAAATAATCGATGCTGCAACAGGAGAACATGATATCGGTGATCAGAAACCATGGAAGCCGGTTCTTATTTTACTTTCTGTGAGGTTGGTTTAAATATTTATAATTGGCAACAAAAAAAAAAAAATTCTTATTAATGTATTTATTACAAAATAGGTTGGGCACAGATAAGCTTAATCCAAGTTATTCAGATAACTTAAAGGTATAATTTTAATGACCATATACGAGTTGAAAATAGATGAAAAAGGAAGTTTGAAATTTATAATGAACGATCTTTCATTTTTGAAAAAATTAATAGGCATTGTTTACTTTCCCTCAATTTTTGGGGATTGCTGGCGGTAGACCTGGTAGATCATTATATTTTGTAGCGGTTCAGGGTAAGCTATCATATTGTAATATTGAACTTTGGTAATTTTTATATTTACACGGGTTCATTCCTTCTATTCAAGATGACGATCTACTGTATCTTGATCCTCACTTCGTACGGCCGGCTATAAATCTCAGTAAAACTCCGGAATTTCCGATTGAGGTAAATATCAAAAATATATAAAAATCTGTTAGTATATTAAAATATTTTTTTTTCATTTTACAGGACTACCACTCTACTATTGTTAGGATGATGGATATATCAGAAATGGACCCTTCTATGTTGTTGGGATTCTTATGTCAAAGCTCTCAAGATTTTGATAATTTTTGCATTCGAATTGAAAAAGTAGATATAAAAATTTTTAAGTTACGATTAAAATTTTTAAAACATATATTTACATTTTTTTTTCCCTTCTAGTTAAATTCACAATTTCCGTTGTTCACTATATTGAACGCGTGTCCTATCCCAAAATTATGGCCAAGGAAAAAATCCTTTAGTGATGTTTCACTTAGTGAATTTAGTGATAGATCGCCATCTATAATTATTGAGACAGTTGATGATGTGGATGATGATGATTTAGAAGACTTAGAAGATATTGTAACACATGAAGAAGATGAGGATGATTGTTTTATAAGTACTAAAGGAGATGATGATGAGATCCTTGGCAATGATGATAATATTAACATAATTAATAAAAACGAAACTAATAATAATAATAATAGATCATCACATGTAGTAGTTGAAAATTTTGAACTTTTGTAAATTTACTTATATATAATTCAATTACATACAATACATTTACAATTATTACACAAAAAATTCGATTTGTTTAAAAATTTGCTTGTATTTTTACTATATATTGCCATATAGCTTATCATTTTGAAATTTGTAATTTCACTAATAATATGATACAAATACTAATAATTGATTTGTATTTTTTATGAAATTTAAAATAATTTGAGCAGTTAATGTAATACAAAAAATTTTGCATATAATAATATAATTTCTATATTATTTTAAAATAATTATTAATATATTATATATACCAAAAGTTTGCTAATAAACTAATAGTAAACCTATATATATATTATGTAATATTTCTCTAATATATATTATAATCAATAATTTACTTTCAATAAGTTATTTTTTTATTTAACAAATTATATTAATTTTTTATATTTTAAATTTAATGGTGAACAAATTTTTTTACCTGGTAATACCATTTTAATATTTTGGGAAATCCTAATTTTTGATATAAAATATGTAAAATATGTAAAAAAAATAGGTTTAAAATAACATATTATTACTTTATTTTTATATATTTATAGTTTAATAAGATGGTTAAAACGAGAATCAGATTTTAATAATTTGCGATAAATTTTTTAAGATGAATAAATATAATTTTATATATCCTTTTTTTTTCTTAGATCGTTGATTGACACTTAAAAAGAATACTAGAAACTTAAACTAAATGCCTAAGAAAAAAAACTAATCAAATGGTTAATATATCGTAATATATAATAATAATAAAAAAAGGATAAATAATATAATAATAATTAAAAAAGATTGGAAAAGAGATTATTTATATGATAATGCAAAAAAAAGAAGTGTTGAAAAAATCTTAACAAAACAATTTCTTTCTTTTTTTTTATAATTTTTTCTATCTCTAATTGAAAAAGCGCACGAATCCCAAACCCCTTTATTTCTAAAACCCAAAATATAAACATATTCGATTTATGAATATTTTTTTTTTTTTTTAAAGCCGGCCTTTCATAAATCAACTTTACATTGTAGAGTTTCATCACTCCACAACAGGACCTGATTTCAGATCCAATTAAAAAACATCATTCATAAACAGACAAGTAATCATCAAACAATCGATTCAACAAAAACAAAAAAAAAAAAAAAAGAAATAGTAAGATATAATCACTCTAGATCTTAAAGAATCGAGATAAAGATAAGTAAGCAAATCACTATTCAATATACTCATATACTCATTCTTTTTATGTCATTTTATCTTCATCCATCCTCTCGTTACAATTATTTTGATCTTGCATTGGACTTTGCGGTATTTTCTCCATTCATTGATACAGGTGACTTAGAATCTCTATCATTCATACTTGTATTGTTGGTTTGGATATTCTTATCACCACCATTTACCTGTGAACTAGATTGGTTTTGTTGAGCATTCTCAGAATTTTGTTCAGTATCATCCTTTTGTTTATTTGATCCATTGCGTTCATTATCTGAATGATAACCTCCACTATGTGTGGTAGTTGCATGTGCATTGTTGTTGTTATACATTCCAAAACTTTCCACATACTCCTGAGAATGAAAAACTGGAGATGTGAGTGGATGATTCGTATGATGAGATGATTGCGGAATCTCGATTTTCATATATGGTTTTGCACCACTCGCTGCAGGAGAATTTGAAGCTGACGATCGTGCCTCAAAATTTGTAAATGTTGTAGGTGCCGCTGATGTAGATACTAAAAAATAAAATAAATTTAATATCAGATAAGAAAATAATGCATTTCATTAACGAAAAAATTTCACCTGAATAATAATACGAACCTTCTAAGTTATTTGGGTCCATATTATTATTATACATTTCTGGATTGGGAGTTTCTCCCGTTTCTGGAATATTTTGAACCATATAATGTGGAGGATGTTGTGGGGGATAGTGAGAAGCTGTAGGATTTGGCGCGCCAGTCGACATCATTAAGGATATAGCATCATTGCGCATTGGACCGTTAGGGGGATATCCTTGGAATGGAGGATACTGGCCATAAGGTCCCGGGAAAGGAGCACCATTGAAATCAGGTGGCATCATACCGGGAGCACCATTTGGTCCAGGAAAAGTAATATGTTGACGATTATCGTTGGGAAATGCTGGATGCATTCCAATCGGATTAAAGCGCTCGTGACTATCAGCATAATGTCCGGGACTACGCCCACGAACTACCAAGGGCGCTGATGTTGCTGTCGCGACTCTATAAGGTTCACCATTTTCAACATGGCCATATAAGTCTACCATAACTACATAATATTGTTGAGCAGCACGACGTTTACCATTATTTGCAGTAGCTGTTTTAAACTGAATACGTTCAAAAGTAACAATATTTGTATTTGCTCCCACAGAACTAAGATTTAGGTTACCACCCGCTCGAATAGGTTTTGGTGTAGGAGTCATCTGTGGCCCTTTGTCGCGTTTCGGAGTATGTTGCACCAACTCGATTTTTTTATCGCTGTTGGAAACACGAGCAGAAATTCCTAACGTGAATTGAGTAACTGTATGAAATTGACCTTCTACTTCTATCAAACACGGTATTTCCGGTTCATTAACAGGATGATTTGTTCCTGTTAAAGAAAACGCACTACTAATTTGGAAATAATTTCTTCGATAACACGTCCAATCATTTTCAGCCAAGAAGAATCCACGGTCAACTTTTGAATTGATACGAAGTTTATAACTGTTAAATCACGAATAACAGAATATTCAAAGGAAAGAATAATAAATTTAGAAAAATAAGTTTGTAAAGAACTTAAATAAATCAATGACTTTACTTATTGGCAAATTTATCGCACCTATTAGTTCTATCCATATTATACAAATTATAATGCTGTTGTGTTTGGGAGAAGAATGGACCAGCATCTGGAGGAAACCCTAATGAGTTGTCTCTACGTTTCCTAATAGCTTGTTGTTGAAATGGTGTGGCGTGAAATGAGTTTGTTGTAAACGTTGGCCTGTTATCATTTTTACGTTCTGGTGGTGCGGAAACAGGTGTTATAGGTGTACCATTTGGAGAAGTATTCTGACGGGGAGTAGTAGGAGTCACAGGAGCAGACATTGAAACAAAACTAAACAATCACCAATTAATAAATTAAATGTTTAGTAATAGCATGTATTCATACGATAAATTAAATGTAAATTTTGCCATCAACTAAATCAAATCAACATCATATTGATCGAATGAAAGATTAAAACCATAATACACTACAACATTTTAATATATACTCTTATTAAAATCTTAAATGATAATTACTTTTGATATTGGCTTTGCGATCTATTTGGCGTCGTATCAATCTCTTGTTTTGGTGGTATGAACATTGCACCGTTGTTACCGTCATGGACAGGCCTACGATATCAATATTAAATTAGTTTAGTGTATATATATGATATCAAAAAATTAAGTCAAGGACACGTTAGAAATGTTCAACAAGAGAAGAGACGCAGTTTCGAAAAAAATAAACGAGTGTGTGTAAGGTAACACGCGGCGACAAGAAACATCAACTTGCATAACCAAAACCAGTTTGTACGAAGCACAAAATAAAACGCGGGTTCTATGTGGAAACTGATAACTGAAAAACGTGCGCGGCACAAAACTACGAGTGTTTTATTTTTTTTTATTTTAAGAGGTTTAGATATTAACATAACTTACATTTGTTGATGAATTTGACCTTGAGGTGCTTGACCGTCATATGTGAAAGATTGAATAAAGTTTTCAGTTTGCATACCGTTCATTTGCGGAGACAAATCGGAGTGTGGATGGTGAGGAGAAGGGGGGACTTGAGATGATTGATGAATAGGCCACTTATCCTCGGTAATATTCATAGTATTGCTAAAAAGCTAATACCGTGAGAATCCTTATGAAAAACGTTAAAAAGAGTTTATAAACCGAGATGAACTGAAAGAATCTCCAAGTATTCAGGTATATTAACTGTTCAGTATATATATTGATGGTAGAAGTCGTCCCAAGTAGTTGGGTTTTTTGAAAAAAAAACTACTGGGTAAAAAAAGTTTACAAAAAAAGTTTCTAAGGCCAGTTGAAATTATCAAAAACAAAATGAATGCGTCAAGTGAGAATTCCTACCCTGTGTATTTTTAGTAATATTTTTATTGATTGATCACGTGGATAGCTTAGTTTTAAAATCTGGCATAATATTAAATTTCCTGATTGTGGAACTTAAAAGGACGAACTTTTCCCTATTTTATAGAATGAAAAATTTCACAACTTTAACTTCATAAAAAAACAGAGCTATAAAGTAACATATTACATGAAATTTTGCAAATGCTCGAACTTTTCCGTAAAATAAACGTGGCTTGAAATATTAACGAATCATGGCAATTATAATAATGTTATTTGTTATGTTTATCCTATCAAATTTAATTTTTTTCATTCCAAAATACCTTGAAGTTATCTTAATGATCATATTTTATATACTTACGAATTTTTAAAAATTGAAGAATCGTACTAAAATAAAGTAAAATTACTTAGTTGCTAATCCTTTCAATCTTGATCCAATTTGAACGATTTATTAATGAGCTGAAGAGACTCTGATTATGGGGAACTTGCTATAATTATTTTATTTATTATAAATAAATATTTTTATTAGAAATATTTAAAAGTACAAACTATATTAAATTAATTAATAAATACTTAACATTCAAGGAAATTTATATTATAATACTTCATTTTTACATCAAACTGTTTACGCCAACTCCCTGAATTAGGATTTCATCTCCTTGACTATTTAGTCAAAATAATTTACTCATTTTCTCTACTACACAGTCAAAACCTACCTGAGCGCATTTTCTACCAGCTAATTCGCAAGCAAATTTTAAACACCCTTCAGTTGTCATACCTTGAGTTAGTCCATAAATTACTCCTGCTGTAAATGTATCACCCGCTCCGACTGTATCAACTACACTTGGTATTGGTAATGCTGGTTCCGTAGATAATTTACGCGTTTGATTATTATAACACATAGCTCCTGAACTTCCCCATGTACAAAAAAGAAGTGCTCTTAAATATCCCAATAAAAAAATTATTTTTTTTAGCGAGAATTTTTTTTTTTTTTTTTTTTTTAAAAAAAAAAACCTGATAATTACTTACGTATTTTTACAATGTGGACTCATAATTTGTAAGAAATCGCCAGCGTGATTGTATCCTTTACCTTCAGCAAATACTTTAGAAAAGAATACAACATCAGCTCTACTCATCAAAGTTTCTAATCCTCTACGATAAGGTTTTTCTAATTCAACACTAATCTTAGTTCTAGGACGCCAAACTTTTGTACCAATATAATCTATCATTTTCGCTACTTCTACAACATTACGTCCTTCAAAATGTATCCAATTAAATGGTAAATCGTTATTTAATGTATCTACTTCTTCTACACATGCTGCTTCGAATTTACGTTTAAACTCTTCAAACGTTAATTCATCTATACTATAATCAGGAATCATTAATTTCATAATTTATTTCATATATAAAATTAAATTAGATATTTACCTATTGTAATTTATAATTGTTCGTGAACTTGTATTATCGGCATATATAATATAAGCTACTGGTGCAAGTTCAGCATTGGATCTAAATATACACGTCGAGGTCTTTATATTATGAGTCTCAAAATCATGGAGTAAAAATCTGTAAATGGTTATCACGTTACGATTAGTTCTTTTCGAGATTGTGAATTTTTAAGAAAAGCACACTTACGCCGAAGCATCTTTAGAGGCCATAGAAGCCATGAAATATCCCTGAGTTAGAGGGAATTGAGATAAAACAGTTAAAGTATTTCCCGCATTTCCACCTCTCCTTTTTTCAACTCTTTGTGCTCTTTGTTTACCATCTTCAGGCGGAAACTTATCAACATAAAGGATCGTGTCTTCATATGCCGATCCTATAGCAAGGACTTTTAAAGGTACCTGTTGGTGATTCCCTGGAATTGTACTTTTTTCTTGTGACATAAAGAAACAAAAATCAAAATTATTTTTATATAAGAAATTGAACCAAGATTTTTTTATCAACCATTATGCAGATTTGTTGTGTTCGTGGTAATGTGAATGTATTAATGTATTACGAGTTTGATCAAAATTTCTTATTATGTAAATCCATTAAAATCACTCGCGTTTTTATGTCAATATTCTCTCAAATCTCGAAATCTCGAGTTATAAAATTTGACAAGCAAAGTAGTAATTATTTTAAAAACGTTCTTTGGTCGATATTCTTTTATTGTAACGCGTTGATACACTATTAATGAATATAATAAATCAATCCATCAAATATTTTTGCATTTTTGAACTTTAGTTAATAAAAACTCATCTTTCTGATGATTCTGTAATTTGTATATTATTTATTGTTTTAGAGCTAGTAACAAGTCTAACATATGGAACCTATAAGATACCAACACAATTAACACAATTAGTTTATTTAACTACTTCGTTTAAGTGATCCAAAAAAAGTTTCCTTTATATTTACCTCTACATCATCATTATGATCGTTTACAACCATCTCTAAAGTTAAAGTTTTAACATATGGCAGAATAGGTTTCTTAACAATCGATTTCATTAATTCTGATAATCTATACGTATTGAGATCAAATAATTCCATAAACATTATATATAAGAACGGATGTGATATATTATTACGCTCTCTCTCGCAGAAAGAATACATATAACATACTTGCACTGCATGATAACATTGTCACTTCCAGTAATCCAAGAATTCTTGAAGTCTTCAATATCAAATCTCCCTTCTATTTCGTAATTCAGATAATAAATTAGGTTTAATAGAATATATAAAATGGTAAAAAAAAGCTAAATCTACAAAACTAAAATAAGTTTAAATTCTAAACATACTAACCCAGTTACCAATGATGTAGTTTACCGGCAATGAATTTAGTCTCGTGACGATCCGCTGGTTGTTCAAAGCAGCGATGAAATCAATATGAAAATGTGTATCATCAACTTTTTTCGAATTCCACAGGATTCAATCAAAATTCAGGAAATTGATGCTGGGTCGAATAACTTAAAATAATATCATATAACTTTTTCCCATAAGATAACTGCGTTTTTACACCAGAATTTGGATGAAATTCAGGTACAATATCTTTACTAACAAATTTTAATGTAGATAAGTAAAATCCCTCGAATATATTACAATAAATTTTATATGCTCATTTTAGTAAAAATTTGATTGTTAATAATTGAAGATGTAGTATATTAAATATATACATACATTATTATACATTATTAACACCAAAGACAATTAATTGGTCAGGTGCTCTCTTTTAGCCAGACCAGTGGACGTAACCTAAGTAAAAAAAGCAGACCATGGACTTCATTACATATGACAACAGATTCAACCATCCGTTTGTGACTGGGTAAGATAATTCTTTAATATATGACTTAATAAACATAGTAAATAACTATTTGGTTGTGGCAATTTATTGTATCTTTTGGGTAACTAAATAGCAGCTGTTGGATGTTATTGTTAAAATTCTTCAAATTTCATAAATTTCATGCACTATTCGAACGTTAATAATTACCCATTGCTTTGTTGTTGCTTAAATAAGAATTGGAGTTGACATATGATTTACCTTTCAATTCACGTGCACATTAGATTTTCGGGTGGATCTTGAGATGATGAATAGAATTCAGGAATAGCAACTTGTGTATTACCTTTGTGCCTATACTCTAATATTTGCCATAATTAAAATTCTCAACATCACATCCTAATAAGCTGCTTACGAGCATCATGCATTGGATACTACATTCCAAATTTTCAAAGAAATAATCATTATAGATATTTAGTTTCTACACCAACACGATCTTGATGAGCAATAAATTTTAGTATAGTTGAGTGTTTTTTGATGAAAATTTTTATCCCATTAAATTAATATACATCAACGGGAATAAGAATAATTTATTTTTTTTTTCAATTGTATCCATATCTGTAACATGCATGGATCAGTACCCAATCCCATCATAGCACGGTTCTTTTAGCGTTTTTATTTTAGCATCAACCTAACCAAAAAAAAGTATTAATTATAAAAAAAATTAATTATATAGTAATTCTCGTTATAATGGACAAATAACTGAACAGTATTTGGCAAAGATTTTCAACATAAAATTAAAATCAAAAATTGTTTAAGAGGCTTATCATTATAAATAATAAATATTTATTATACAAATATTATTATGTTAATAATGATTTGAACTGATTCATTTGATAATCAGATTAAGTAATATTAAAAAAAAACCTGATTTTTTTTTAAAAAAGGTAAAATTATATATAATAAAATATTTAGTCTAATATTTTTTTTAACTTTACCCTTATAGGAAGTAGTAAAAATTTATTTTTCTATTTTTATAATAATATATAGGATTTTATTTTTTATTGCACTTATAAAATATTGCATTCCACATATAAAAGTCAAAAACAGTATTCTAAATTCTTTTTGATATATTAAATAAAATTGTAAAGCAAGCAAAAATATCCATACTATATAGATTTTAAAAGTGGTACAATAAGTACATAAAGGTTTACACCAAAAATGTAAAAAAATCAAAAAAAATTGAGAATTAGAAAATTTGGTAAAGATTAGCAAATTATTATATAAAATTTGCTGTGATATATTACATATGCAAAAAATATTAAATCCTATTAAATATAATAACTAACATATACTAATATTTAAACTATATTATTATTATTTAACTAGTATTTTAATAAAGTAGAATTCTAACCCATTTACTTTATAACAAATTTTGATTAAAAAACTTTTTAATAGAGTATTATACTAATTTTATCATAAAAAATCTTATTATATCAAAAATTACTAATAAAATACTATATATTATTTAATAAAATAAATTTTTCTGTAAAAAAAGTCAATCCATTTTTTATATTCCATTTTTTTTCTGTAAAAAGCTTAAATTTTTAGAATTAATACTATATATTATTTATATTTTTCATAAATAAAATTGTAAAAAGCTTGAGTTTTTTGCAGAAATAATAGATAGAATTTATATAAACCAGTAGATATAAAATACATATAAAATAATTTTATTATAATAAATTTTCATATTATATTAAATTTTATTATAACAAAGATCTGATTAACTAAATTATCTATTTTATTATAAAACAAATAAACTGCATATATAAATTACATTTAAAGTTTATTTATTAATTATATAAAATTTTCCAAAAATTAATATTTATTTTAAAAGTATTTTTAAAAAATTTTAAACTATATACTTCTATTTTAATCTATAACTAATAATTTAAATTCAATAAAATTTATACCTTTAATAAAAGAAATCTAATAATTTTTCTAAATTTAATATTTACTGAAATATAATACAAAGTAATTTTTTATTCAATATAAATAAAAAATATTTAAAATCTTTTAAAGTCTTAAAATTTAAATTTTTTTAAATTTTTTATTATTTTAATTTGTTAAAATTAAATTTTAGTTTAATACAATATTACAATTTATAAAATATATTTTAATAGTAATTTAAACTAAAAAACTGTGTAATATTAATTATAAAAATACAATATTAAAATAATTAAATTAATTGAAATTTAAAAAATGTAATATAAATAAATTACTTTTATATTCAAATTAATTATACTTTACTAATTACTTTTTATTATTATATTTAATAAAATATCAATTCATTTAAGTAATATTAAAGATATATTTGCTTAATGTATTTAGTGATAAAGGTTTTTAATAATAAAATGTAAAAAAATATTTTTCTTAAAATTTTATTAATATAAAATAACTTAAAATTAAATTAAAAGCTATATTTATTTATTTGAATTACAAAAAGTGCAATTGGAATTTGCAATTTTGTTTATGCAATAATAAAAACTTACTATTATTTGTTTGTTGTTAAGAAAATTGAAATCAAAATTTATTTATCATAATGGTTGAAAAAATTCAAATTCAAATTTAAATTATTGAAATCTTATTATAAATATTTTAGTGTTTATAAAATATGCCAAATCAAATTTACTGAAAATTTGATGGCAGCCAGGTTTATTTTTAGAATAAAAAACAAAAAGCCTAAAATTTTTTATATATCATAACATCCATATATTTAACAACAAAAATTGCAAAATCTGAAGCAATCCAGATCACCGGTTTTTTGTTTTTTGCTGTATCTCTGGAATCTAGAACGTAAGTCTAAAGATTGCTTAATTGTTATTAATAAAGATGAAGATTGAATTACAGTAGGTGAAGAGCAAAAAATAGTGAACTTCATACAATAGCAAAATATAAAAAAACCCTATAAAATTCTAGAGGTCGTAGAAGAGGGAGGTAGAATTAAAATAAAGAGAGCAAAATGAATCGACCATCAAATTTAATTACAAAACAACATTCTTTCAATCATCTTCTAACCTCATTATAAAAATATTAATACTATAAATTATACTTTACATAATATTTGTTGGTAAGGAAAAAAGCGAGAACGAAATAATAAATAATCAGCTTTATTAATTGCAATATTAATTATAAAAAAAAGACCGTTTTCAATAAAGGATTACAAATTTAGACATTTCTCAGCACGTATATATAAACTACTAACCAAATTTAACAATACATCTTTATTAACGACTCATCGTAAAAAACTTTTGGGAAGAATTATTATCAGGAGTATTTCAGTTTAAAGGTCAAAAGTCGTATAAAAGCGTTATGTAAAATATAGAATATTATTGAAAGTTCATATTCATAATAAAAAATTAGCCTATAAGAAGATAGGCTAATTTACGTAGTACAAAATTTTTAATTAGTAATTGGCGTTGCGTTGAAATGTCCCAGTGACTGTTATACTAAAACAAGCAATAAGAGAGCTCCATGTAAATTTAACAATATACTAGATCAAGTAAAACAGAAAGTAAAAAAATTTTCTTTTAATTATATTGTTCATTTTCCCGGAACGTACCTTTTTGCAGTAATCAATATTAAGAATGGCTAACTTAAACCCCGCGGCATATGCTAACGGGGGTATTACTATTCCAAACGGCTTGGTTGGTATGCCAAATAACCCTAGAGCGATGCACTTGGCAATGACACAAAACCCAATTGGGTTTCCTACTATGTTAACAGCAAATATGAATAACCAAAGACTACAACAAATGCCAATGGGTCAAAATCCTTCCCCCCCGATCACGTAAATATGCCTTTATTTTGTGCTCTTTTGAAAACTTTCACTTTGCAAGTTTAATTTACACTATTTTTTTTTAGTCGGAATCCAGTCTCTTACCTGAGGTTAGTTCATAAAAAAATATTTCTTTCATTTTTTTCCAAATTTAACAAAAAAGCTACAAAAGCAGGCCATCTGGAAGAAGCATTTTACGAGTGTTATTGTTTGGTGAATATTTGGCTGGCGAGGTATAGCTTTACCATTTTTTTACTGACACTTTTTATATTTAAAACAAATTAATTTTGATTTTCTATTTAAATATCATAGAATGCAGTAAACAAGAAGGACATAGCTTATTGGAAAAGAATAGTAATGGAATTCTTTTCAGAAGAAGGAAGAATGATATATGGATTATGGAATCCTGAGGCTGGAGGAAGTAGAAGTTTTGGTTAGAATTACTTATTATTTTCTTCCATTATCTTTTTTAAATTCAAAATTTGTTAAATTTGTTATATTAATTAATATTTTTCGTAATAAAAGATATACCGAATCCTGTAATTTCAAGGTTTTTCCAAGTAAATTTTGAATCAGGCGTTACGTCAATACAACTAACAATGAATAGCATAAAGGAGAATTTTACTACTCCCGTTAGTATAGCAAATAATTGCATGGCATATAATAGTACAGTTGAAGCAAAAGCTTCATTGATATATAATTATGAAGATGGATCAAGGGTATAATAAATTACTTTGTAATAATTATTTACAGTTTCGATTTATTATACAATCATTAATATGTTATAACTTTTGTTATGTCAGGTTGTAGCGTCAGGGCGATTAAAGGTCAGACTAAATCATCATTTAAAAATAGACTGTTTTGAATTTAATACAGAGAAGCATATGGAATATGTTCCTCGACAACAACAAACGATGTTACCTGAGAGTCCTATTGGACCGATGGGTATACCAATAAAAACTTTAAGATGCTTAGAGGTATGTATAAAATAAGTCAATTTAACAGAATATAAAACTGGTAATTAACGTAATTAACGTATGATTAATATTAACTTTATCATAGTTAGCAGAAGGTGTAGTGACATTGCACGACTTAATAGAAAAAAGTATATCTTCAAATAAGGGTCCACTTTGTAAGTAATATTTTTTATTACTTATTTATTTATTTATTTTTAATTAAACTAATTATAATTATAATTTTCAATTTTATACGTGTAAATACATATAGTAACTTTATATGCCTTAGCAAACCCTGAACAGCAATCACAGACAATTATAAATCAATCAAATCATACTCCCCCAACACCAGGTCCTTCTCCACCTGAACCTCCTGCTAAAACACCTAAAGAGAAAAACGAAAATTTAAATATGGAACAACAGCATTATACTGATATTCCAGCACCATCGCCATCAACATCCAATGCTAATATAAAAGATTCACCGACGTCAAAAACCTCTGTTAAATCATCTCCTGTATTTAGCAGTATGTAGTTATTAAATATTTCCTATATAAAAAAGTTTTTGTATGTTTGATTTCATTTATTGATAATTTGCATCATAGAAATGGATACGCCTAAGCAAAAAAGGCGAAAACCACAATATACAAGAAAAAATAGTCGTCAGGAAACAGGTTCATGAAATTAGATATTTTGTATTTATATAATTTAACCTACCATATCCTTTTAAGTTATATATATTTTTTATACTTTTTCCTTGCATTTAAATTGTATTCAGTATTATCCTTGTACCACCAAATTTATTTCTATTTGATTTTACTATATTGTTTTCAAAGAGAAAAAAAAAAAAAAAGTTTATCATAACATTTAAATCAGAAACCGACCCTTATGTTAATTCAAAGAAATATTAGAGGTTGGTTGATTTTTCGGGTTATAAATTTTTATGATATATTTTATTATTTTGAATATTGAATTGAAATATTGGAATAGAGTATACTATGATTTCTCTAATTATTTGGTATGTGATAAAAATAAAAGAGGTGTGTTTGTGGTATGCTGTATGTGGATTCAAATTTACTGTGACATCGACGTCATTCAATAGCATTAGTACTAATTGTATATAAGATACAACCGCACATCTATCATTCTATCTAATTGCTTATTAATATTATTTATTAGTTAATTATTAATATTTCTCTTTTCTTTTTAATTTTAATTTTTTAATTTAGAAATAAATCTTATTTAAAGAATTTAATTATCTTTTTAAATAAAAAAGTTTAGACAATCATTATTTACGTTTCTTTGAAGCTTTAATAAAGAACTATGTAGAACTATGAAAGTAAAAAATTTATCAATCAAAAATATTATAACTGGTAATGTTCTTTGATTGATCCAAAATATTTACTAAGCAAAAATGGATGGCTTGAATCAAATTTAAATGCACAACTTTAAATATCACATAATTCGGGCGTAATTACAAAAAAAAAACGAGACAATGCAATTAAAAATTGTATGTAATCAGGGTAGAGTTAAAGATTTTCCGCACTAGATAATGATCGTAAATATTCTGGCCCACATTATGACGGTATTATATCTTGGGTATAATTTAAAAATTAGTTTGGGCAGAGGAAATTATTGTCTAAATTTTTGAGCTTTAAAAGCATCTCCATGTCCATAAAACTTTCGCATATGCCTAAATTATCTATCTTTGTTTGTTAATTATTTATAATATGATTTGATCGTAATTAGACATTCTTAAAAACTAAATCATACTGTAATTTTCACTTATTAATTCGCAAGGAGACGTATTGCTACTATTGCTTGCTTTGAATAAAATTCATTGAGTATAAAAACAATGAGAAAAGTACAACTTGGGTTTCTTTTAATATCTCTCATTAATGGATACATCCACTATAAATGTTTGATGTTTCAATATTTCAATCTTCTTTGTATATTAATCTCAAATAATAATCACATCATCTGTTTTACTCATAAAGTGATGGAACAAAAAACTTCCAAGGTAAAAAAAAATAAGTAAGTAACTGGTAATGACCGAATAGACACGATCAACACTTTTCATATTTGTAATTTTTGTAGATAAACATAAAAATATTTTTTCTTTTACATCATTTCCTATACGAACTAGTTGATAGCTACAATTGCGCTTCATTATATTAGTAATTAATGTTACACAAAATTATTCAATTTTTTGTCCAATAAAATTTGAAATCATTTATGTATAACATCTTTTGAGATCCTTTTTTTCAATTCTTGATCGTGCCGTTGATATTGATTTTTGCGTCTGACGAAGTTCTTTGAATATAACAATGGCTAAAAAGGACAAGAAAGGAAAAAAGAAGGCCGACGATAATCGGTTTGTACAAGACAGCGCGAGTGAGAATTTGTTAGTTTCTTGTATTTAATACTAAAGAAATTTGCTATCTCAGGGAAGATCAAACCAAATCGGAGTCTCTACCAGAGTCTCTACCAGAGCCTACCAAGAAAGATGACGCTGCTGATGTAACTGAACTGCAAGATCCAAAAGACGAGGATTATGGAGATTTAATGTCGCAGATCTCTAAAGTCTCAAAAAAAAATAAGAAAAAGAAAAATAAAAATGCTGTAACGGATGATGATTATGCCGATTCTCAAATATTAGGAGAAGAAGGGGCTTCTTCAGAGGCGACCCCCGTTGTTTTAACTGAAGTTCAAGCAGTTCAACCTGATGATTGGGCTGAAGAAGAATTTGGCGCGTCTAATAAAGATAAAAAGAAGAAAAAAGGTGGAAAGAACAATAGAACCGAAAGCCTTGTTAAAAATGATGAATCAATAGAAAAAGAGAAACAAGATGAAGATGCGATCCCTGTTGTTTCAACTGAAGTTCAAGCAGTTCAACCTGATGATTGGGCTGAAGAAGAATTTGGCGCGTCCAATAAAGACAAAAAGAAGAAAAAGGGTGGAAAGGACAATAAGGCTGAAAACCTTGTTAAAAATGATGAATCAATAGAAAAGGAGAAACAAAATGAAGATAGCGGAGAGATAAAAATATTAAGTAAAAAAGAAAAGGAAAAATTAAAGAAGCAGAAAGAAAGAGAAAAGAAAAAAGCTGATGCGGAAAAGAAAAAGACTCAAAAAACCGAAGAAGTAGATAAGCAAGAAGGAATTATAGAAGTGAAGGAGGAATCTAAATCAACACCTTCTGAAGAACCGCCAGAGATAGCAGAAGATGATGAAGATGATACGAAAGATGATACAAAATCAAAAAGTAAAAAGAAGAAGAAAAAGAAGCCGGCAGAGGAAGAAAAAAAACCTGCTGGTAAAAAGAAACCACCAGTAGCTGCGCTTAGAAAAATGCTGGAGGCTCAACGGTTTGTATCTAGTAATTTTTTATTTACATAGAACTCGTTCTTTTTAACATTATTGATTTCCATTTAGTGCCGAGGAAGAAGCGAGAAAAAGAGAGGAAGAAGAGCTACAAAGGAAACTTGAAGGTAGGATAAGTTAAATTAAATAATAACCTGAAGTTAATATCTGTAATTTTTAACTTATGAAATGTTGTTTAGAGGAACGTAAACGTATTGAAGAAGAAGAGCAGCAGAAGGAAGAAGCGAAGAGAAAGAAGAAAGAAAAAGAAAAGGCAAGTACTAACAAATATTATGGGGATCTCTTATCCATTGTATTAAATAAAATATCCGGTGTTTCTCTGATAGGCGAAGAAAGAACAGGCGAAAAAAGAAGGAAAATTATTGACCAAAGCTCAAAAAATTAGGAAACAACAAGATCAGCTACGGTTACAACAGATGGTTGAAGCTGGCCACCTTAAGATCGAAGGTCTCAGTCAATATAGTGAACAAAGACCAAAGAGAGTTGTATATTCTAACAAAAAGAAACAGCCAAATAAACAACGAATGGCACAAACTGAAGTTGAACGGTCAGCCACCGAAGTGAAAGATTCCATCGAGCCTGTGGAAGAAAAATTAGAAATTAAAGGTCTGTCTTGAGTAATTAATTACTATATTAAGGTGTTCAATTTGTTAAATTATTTAATCTCTTGTAGAAAAAGAAAGCGAGGAACAAGGATCAGAGTCAGAAAAGGTGGAAATTGCCACAAAAGTTAAAGAAAGATGGGAAGAGAGTGATGATGAAGAAATTCAGAATAAAGAAGAAAAGGAGTCTGTTAAAGACCAATGGGATGAAAGTACGGAAGATGAAGCTCCGTCAACTCCAGTTAAGAAACAAGAACAAGTTAAGAAGTCTGATGAAACAACAACGAAAGTTGATAAAACAACGACTAAGGCTAAACCTCTTGTTGAATCCCCTGTTAAAAAACCTGCAAAAGAGGAAGAATCTGAAGAGGAATCTGAAGAGGAGTCTGAAGAAACTGAAACAGGAAGCGAAGAAGATAGTGAAGATGCTACAGAAAGTGAAGAAGAATTAACTGAACATAAAAAGCAGCAGCTAAAACGTAAACAAGAAGCTGCTGAACGTCGAAGGAAACGTCATGAAGAAGCTCTTGCTTCTCGAAGTAAAGATGATCTTCGTTCTCCAATATGTTGTATTTTAGGACATGTCGATACTGGTAAATGTTTCGGAAAAGGTACTCCTATCTTGATGTATGATGGCAGCGTTCATGCTGTTGAAACAATTCAGACGGGTGATCAGGTAATGGGTGATGATAGTACTCCTCGAAACGTTAGTGGTGTTACAAGCGGGAAGGGATTACTTTACAAGATTATTCCAATAAACAATTCTTCCGCTCAACCATTTGTGTGTAATGATGCACATATTCTTGTTCTTAGGATTACATCATCACCATATATACAGCATCAAAAAAGAAAGGGCCAATTTTGTCTTAATTATTTTATTTACAACAATAATACAAATTTAGTTAAAAAAACAAATATATTTTATAAATATCCGACAAGTCAATTTCAAACCAAATATCATGCAAAAAGGGCTGCAATTAAGAGCTTAGAAATGTTAAATTCAGATAAGATTCCGAATCTATTTTATCAAAGTGTTAATAGTAATGCAGATTTGAAAATTATTCGCGGAGATTTCATTTGGCAACCTTCTGTTACACAATTCTTAAATTGTTCTTCAGAAGTTCAATCTGCTGCCAACATGTTCACACCAAATAAAGTCCGCTTTTCGGTTCGGGAAGGAACATTTGCAAAAATTATTGAACGTATTATTGGATCACCTATAACTAATAATATCATCAAATTTTATGCCTGGTTAATTGGTTATTGGATTGGTACAGACTTTGTTATGTCTAATGATAATCATGATATTGTGGCTTCCTTATTTGGTGAACTTGGAATTTTACGAAGGAAGGATATTCCTGAGATTATGATGTATGAAGATATTGATTTAGTTCGCCTTCCATTGTTAGCTGGCATAATTGATAGTAAAGGATTATGTATTCCCCAGGAAGATGTTATAGAGTTGACACTAACGGATGTTTGCAATGCCAAAAACTTTGTTAAAATCTCTCGCTCATGTGGATTGCAAGCTAGCATTTCTGATCCTCAAAATAAATGCATTTTACATAAAGCTTCTATTATTCCTTCAGTTTTATTTCGATCGAATTGTAAAATAAATGATCATAAACATGACCAGCTTTGGGGATTTCAAATTAAAGAGCTTGGCGTTGGGGAATATTTTGGTTTTGTAGTTGATGGGAACCATCGCTTTTTACTAGGTGATTTTACGGTAACACATAATGTAAGTACAAATGATTTTTCGGTTTATATTATTATTTACTTATTCTAAAATTTTATGCAGACCAAATTATTGGATAAAATCCGGCAGACAAATGTTCAGGAAGGAGAAGCTGGTGGTATTACGCAACAGATTGGTGCAACATATTTTCCTATGGAAACTATCAAAACTAAAACTGCACCTTTAAATAAGGTATTTAAATAATAGAATTATTTGTTGGAAGAGTATTATTATGGATAATCCTTAATTGATCAAATTTATTAATTGCTTTTTTAGGATGGTAAACAAGAATACAAACTTCCAGGTCTGTTAATTATCGACACACCTGGTCACGAGTCATTCACAAATTTACGTTCTAGGGGTTCCTCATTATGTAATATAGCTATTCTTGTTGTTGATATTATGGTAAATGAATATATTTAAATCTTATTAATGTTGACTATTTTAATTGAATATTTTCTATATTAATGAATATTTTATTAACAGCATGGTTTAGAACCACAGACATTAGAATCGTTAAGATTATTGCGAGATCGTAAAACTCCGTTTATAGTAGCATTAAATAAGGTTAGTCAAATTGATCAAATTTTTTTTTAAAAAAAAGAATTATTTAACTATTTACATAATTATTTCTTTTGATTAGATTGACCGTATGTATGATTGGAAGCCTATACCGGATAATTCTTTCCTTGACTCTCTTTCAAAACAATCAGAAAGCGTCAAACGTGAATTCCAAGATCGTGTTGAACAAACTATATTGGCTTTTGCTGAACAGGTAACTTAAACACATCAATGTCTTTTAACATCAATTCGCGTTATTTAAAAATTTTTTTTTATTGTAATAGGGACTTAACTCCGTTTTGTATTATGAGAATAAGAATTTTGCCAAATACGTTTCTCTTGTTCCCACATCAGCTATTACCGGAGAGGGTATTCCTGATATGCTCATGTTACTTGTCAATTTAACACAATCAAGAATGAGCGATGCGTTAATGTATTTATCAGAACTAGAGTGTACTGTGCTAGAAGTCAAAGTTATTGAAGGTCTTGGTACGACAATTGATGTTGTCTTATCAAATGGTGTATTAAATGAGGGAGATAAGATCGTATTATGCGGTCTAAATGGTCCCATAGTTACAACAGTCCGTGCTTTATTAACACCACAACCACTGAAAGAACTTCGAATCAAGTCTGCTTATATTCATAATAAAAGTGTTAAAGCAGCTCTTGGGGTTAAGATCTCTGCCCAAGATCTTGAAAAAGCAATTGCCGGTTCACGTCTTATGGTAGTTGGACCAGATGATGACGAAGACGACCTCAAAGATGAGATTATGTCTGACTTGAAGAGCTTATTAAGTTCTATTGATAAGTCTGGTAAAGGTGTATGTGTACAGGCTTCTACTTTGGGTTCCCTGGAAGCTCTTTTAGAATTCTTGAGAACATCTAAGATTCCAGTATCTGGAATTAATATTGGACCAGTACACAAAAAGGATATTATGCGAGCTGGTATTATGTTGGAAAAGGCAAAAGAGTAAGTGATTTTCAATACATTCATTAATTATATATTAGGTTAACTAATTTTATTGATTATGTATAGGTTTGCTGTTATTTTATGTTTTGATGTTAAAGTAGACAAAGAGGCACAAGATTTAGCTGATGATTTAGGTATCAAAATTTTTAAGGCTGATATTATTTATCATTTGTTTGATCAATTTATCGCTTACAATAAGGTAATGTTCTTTTTCGATATATTTTTTTTTTTTTTCATTGGTGATAGAATATGTTGATGATTAAGTGTCTTTAAATTTTAATAATAGGAAATCGTTGAGCAGAAACGTAAAGATCAAGCACCTCAAGCAATATTTCCTTGTATTTTAAAAATAGTTCCTGGTGCTATATTCAACAAGAAAGAACCTATTATTATTGGTGTAGATGTTGTTGAAGGAATTTTACGAACTGGAACACCACTATGTGTTGTTAAGACAGATCCCGTAACTAATGTAAAATAAAATTTTATTGTTTTTTTTGGTATTTATTATATATAATAACTAATTTATATTTTTATAGCAACGTGAGATAATTACTCTTGGCAAAGTGACCAGTATGGAACAAAATCATAAAGCAACTGAAATTGCAAAAAAAGGTCATACCGGTGCAGGTATTGCCATTAAAATTGAATGTGCTGTTTATGAAAGCTCAAAAACGTTTGGAAGACATTTTGTAGAAACTGATGAATTATATAGCAAGGTAATGTGACATTGTTTATTTTTTACTTTTTTTCTAATGTTTGCTTTATTCATTTTCTATTATTTTCTGTTAGATTTCACGTGTTTCTATTGATGTATTGAAAGAATCATTTAGGGATGATTTAAGCAAAGATGAATGGCAATTAATTATCAAATTGAAGAAAATTTTAGATATTAATTAAACATAAAAAGTTATAAATTATAAACTTTTTTATTTATAAAAAAAAAACTTTATTTCTATTTAATTATGATTCTTTTAAATTTTCAAAAATAAATTTTTAAAATATTTTCTTTTAAATAATTTTCATCTTTAATTGACATTATATATTAATTAAATTTACTAATAAAAAAATTATATTGAAATTAGATGCATTATATAAAATTTAATTTAAAAGAATTTGAAAATGAAATCAAAAAGAAGAGAAAAAAAATCATAAAAGAATAATAATTACATTTTTGTATTTTTTTTCAAATTTGATTTTTGCAAATATTTTACAATCTAATAGTATAAATAAATTACTACTATGGGTAAACCTATTATTATAAGAACTATTTAAATCTAAACTAAATTTTGCAAGCTTATTTGCTGTATTATTTCTAATGTTTCCACTTTGTAAAAAAAGTCAATCTGTTTTTTTATTTCAATTTTTTTCTGTAAAAGGCTCATATTTCTGGAATTAATAACTTTATATTACAGAATTTATCAAATTATTTGCATTTTTCATAAATGGATTTGTGAAAAGCTCATTTTCATAGAGTTTTTATAGAAATAATAGATAAAATTTTTTATATTTAATTATTATTATTTTATATAAATAACATAATTAAGAAAATTTCTTAATTTACATTAGGTATTTATACATATATTATGTAACTTTATTAGAAAGTTATAAAAAAAAATTTTTTAATAAATATAATTTTTAAAAAAATATACAATATGTATTTTTATTTATTCTGCAAATTATTTAAAATATCAAAATTAATTCTAAAAAATTTTTATTTTTTATTTTTTGTTAAATTTAATTCTACCCAACATTAAATAATTAATATAAAAAATTTACTTTTTTAGAAATTCATATTTGAATATCTATGTATAGATAGAAATCATTTATAATTAATAATTATAATACAGTCAACTCTCTATAAATGCATCCCCCTTAAAACTAGATAAAAATATGTGGTGATTATCAAGTATAGACTTCTGATACTATAAAAAAACTTTTTCTGCCTATTTTTAGAGTGACTGAATAATTTAATTAAAGTAACTTCTTTAATTTAAACTATAATTTTCATGAAAACACACTATTATTATACTATTATAGCATAGTGGATATCCTCATTTTATCACAATTTTGATAATTATTTATCAATCATTTATTCAATCTTATCACATAGAATAATGCATGCTGTTATTTATAAATTTTACATAATAATACATGCTTAAATTTTGCAAATAAACTTACTTTTAATACACAAGTTTGTGTATTATTATTTAATATTTTTTAGATTTAAATTTATATTCAACAAATAAAGCTCTACACAAGTCAGCTCACAAGCTAAAAGTACTTTAAAAATATATTAGCTTGCGAGCCAGCTTGTGAGCCAATATATTTTTAAAGTACTTTTGACTCATGAGCTAGTTCATATAGAACTTTATTAACAAACATAAATTAATAGTATGGTGCAAGTAAACTATACTCAACAATAAAATTGTAGTATTAAAAAATTTTATAAAATTTTAAAAAATAAATTTTAAAGAAAATAAACTGGTAATTTTATTCTTCAAGACAAGTACTATCAAATTACCGGTCAGATATTTGAAAAAATATCTGTATAAAAAGTTATAGGCAATTAAAACTAACTGATTTTTATATGATCAGCCTAAATTTAAAACAAATTGAATCACACGTGCCCTATCTTATTGGTCAAAAATTTTTATAATTCAGGCCAAAATTATGATATTTCAATACTGGTCTGAATTATCACATTCATTTGATCATGAGAAAATTCCTTTAACGATGAAAAAACCTTCTGATTCATAAGAAAATCATCACACGTGAATGAGAAAATTTTGATCTGGCTTTACTGATGCCACGTAAAACAAAATGATAACAAGTTAGTAAGATACCTAGGAAAAAAGGTCACTATATATTACAATACCATATAAAGAGTTTCAATGAATAAATTTTTCATTTTATTATGTACAAAACAGTGTAACTAAGGTTGCTTGTCTAAACCTCTTCAAAATCCTACGATTAGTTTCGTTAAAATTTTACTATAGATTTATTATAGTTTCGGTAGAGTTTTGGCAGTTTCGGCATTTATAATAAGTTTCGGCAGTTTCACCTTTCTCCAAAGTTTCACCAGTTTTTTAATATAACTTTAATATAGTTTCGGCAGAATTTCGCTTTTCGGCGAAACGCCATCTTGCCTAAACCCCTAGGTTTCGGCAAGCAACCTTAAGTGTAACATATAAAAATTCTTATTTTTTATTGGACAATGTCTGATCACGTGATATGAAACTTGCACCAGAAAATTGAAACATCATTATGTGATTGTCAAATATAGTTTACTTGCATTATAGTATATATTTATTAAATTTTATGCATTTATGATATTGATTTAATTTTGTGGTTTAAGCTTTGTGGTATTTATTTAATTTCATAGCATTAGATAATTAAATTTTGTGGCATTAAATCATTAAAGTTTGTGATATTACTGATAAAATTTCTGCATTATGGGTTATATAATTGCATTATTTTTGTTATAAATTATACATAATATAAAAAGTAATTTTGCAAATTTTTAATTTTCTGTCATGAATATTCACCTTCTGCCATCAATTTTAAGTTGATAATTCCAAATAATTACAAATCAATAATCTATAACGTAAAAATTAAAAAATGATGCAAATCGTCATATAATTCAAAGCTATATAACAATATGACGCTTTTCATTTTGTCTAGTTATTTATTTTGTCATATTTCTTTTAAAAATTAAGTTTTTTTAACAAAATACAAATATATGATTGATAAATGATTGGTAAGATGATATAAGAATGTCCACTATACTTACTATCACAGGTCGAAAAGTGAAAAATCAGGCACCAATCAGGCACCAATCAGTCACCAATCAGGTGACTGATTGATGTCTGATTTTTTACTTTTTGACCTGTGTATTATAGTATTAAATATCAGTAGTATAATTTAGTAAAGTTAAAAATTAATATTAAAAATTTTAAATTTTAAATTATAAAATTATAAATTTAAGTAGGGTATTGCTAAATATCACCAGTGGTGATCATCACCATACCACTTAATTCTAGCCGAAAATTATAATTTTGGTCAGAGTTAAAAAACACATCATAAATTTTTTTTCAAAAATTTCAATTTAAATAATAAATGTGTAAAATAAACCTGAGTAGATACTAATCATACTAAAATTTTGAAATTTTGACTAAAAAAAATCTTTTTTAAAACAAAAAATTATATTTTGCTTATAAAATCAAACTTTCCTATTTTTCTCAAAAACTATCTAAATAACAATAATCTAAGGTAAACTTGTTCTACCTATAAATTTACATATAATAATGATATTTATATTATAATTAGAATAATATCACAGTTAAAAATTTTTGAAAATTTAAAAAATATTTTACATATGATGACGATCACCACTGGTGATATTTAACAATATCCATTTAAGTAATATAAATAATTTATAATAATTTATTTGACTATAACTATTTATATTTAATTATTAATATTAAAAATATGTGAATCCTAATATAAAAAATAGACTTTTAGGTTAAAAATAATTCATTCTAAATGATATATATAATATCTACTTATTAAGTCAAATTTTTAACAATACATATGTAAAGTACAATTATATATAATAAATAGTTTGTAATTTAATAATATTAGATAATCTTTATAAATAATTATTTTATTTGATATATATTTCTTTTACATTTAATAAAATTGCAAATGCACTGCAAAATAAAAAAAAATATTATTAAAAATGTAATTTATTATTATTAAACTAACCATTAACCTATTATTTTGCATATATAATTCATTATTTCATTATAAAAAAGCATAATGTAATTAAGCTATATATAATAGGTAATACTAGAGTTACGATCTGAAGATCATCTGTCATCTGTCATCTGACCAGATTTTATTTGCCATCTGATCTTGTCAGATGATGGATGATAGATTATCTAACCAGATGATCTGTTCATCTGACAGATTAACTTTTTTGAATTTTTAGTTTGGAACTAGTTTATTAATTCTGGTCAGTATAATATAACTCTGGCCACCATTAAAACTTGTCCAGAATTAACATTTGCGAAACATAATTCCGGCTGGCATTAAAATTTGACCAGAATTAACTTATTTAAATCTAACTAAATTCCATGAAATTTCTACACTTAACCCAAGTTCAGATGATTCAGATTATCTGTTTCATTTGCAGATAAATCTGTTATCTGATCTGTCAAATCAGATCCATCTGATTCATCCGACAGATGACAGATATCTGATCCATCTAACAGATGACAGATATGACAGATATCTGACTCATCTAACAGATGACGGATGATAGATCATAACTCTAGGTAATACAAGTAATACAATACAAAAATATTTATACAAATTAGTCTAAATGTTATAATTACTGTCAACTCTTGTTATAACGATCCCTAGGTTCCAGACCTCAACTTCGCTATAGGGCTATAGTGAAGATTTTAAGAGATTTGATTGGTTAATTCATTATAGCAAGGGGAAATTTATTATAGTTGTCTGAAAAATTCACTATATCAAGAGTTCGCTATATTAAGGTTTGACTGTATATACAAAAATAATTATTATATAAAAAGATTTTTTTTTAATATACTATACATAATAATATATATTTTATCAAAATTTAACTATTAAATATTTATAAAAAAAACAATATAATTTTATATTATTATATAAAATAAAATATTACTAATTTTTATCAGTAGTAATTATCACTATCTGTGATTATTATTATTTAATTTAGCCAAAATTATAGTTTAACTAAAATTTAAAATACTAATTTATAATTTAATCAAAGTTAAAAATATTAATCACAAAAGTTTTAACTTAAATAATAAATATTTTAATAAATATTAATTTGATATTAACTATAACAAAATTTTAAAATTTTGTCAATAAAAATTTTATTAAAGTAAAAAAATTAAAAAATTAAAATTTTGTAATTTTCTTAAAAATTATTTAAAAACCTTTTAATCTTAAATAAATCTCTTCTTTTTATAAATTTACATATAAAATAATTATTTAATATATATAATTAATTATTGTCTAATGCAAAGCAAAAAACTATATATATTTATGAATATTAACTACATATTGAATTATATGGAATCTTTGCAGTAGAAAAGGATAAAATTACTAAAAAAAATAAAAATGAATTAATACCAAATTTGGATTTATTTGAGTTTAAAAATTATAATTGACATATAAATATAAATTTGATTTTTTCTGACAAATTTTATTTAAAACATTCTATTTATATTATATCCCTATAAAGTAATGAAATTTTTCTAAAAGGTCATCACATTTATTGCTAATTTTATTGGTTTAAAATTATAGATTATCATGTATTTCAGTAAATTGAATCATTTTTTTTATAACTGATTTGTTATTTATTTTATTATAACTATTATTAAGATTTTACTAATAAATTCTAAAAGTTCTGATATAAATGATATAAAAACAGGTTCAGTTTATTAAATAAAATTTCACTGTATATATGAAACTAGCATTTTTATAGTTATTGAAATGTAAAAATTAATTTTAGCAGGCAACTTTACTTATAACCTATAATTTATATATTAAAGAAAAGATTCCATTTTTTTTACCAGAATAAACTAAAACATATAAAATAATGATTTAATAGACCATTTTAATTTGTAATAGTAGTTCTTTAAAAATAATAAATTTTAAATTTATTATTATTATTATTATTGTTTATAAAAAACTTTGTAATATATTTAATACTTTTAAAATAAAATTGCTATGTATAAGAAATTCATTTACAATAAAAGAATAATTAGAAATTATGCAAATCAAGAAGTTTTTGCCTTTGAAATTTTACCAAGCTTGTACAAATATTAATTTTTAGTTTGAAAAAGAATTATCAACTGTCAAATCTAAAGAAAGTGATAATAACAAATCAACATTACTTTTTAAATCTACAATATCACGATATCACGCTACTAATTAATCAATTGGCAATGCATGACGGAGATTTTCCCCATTATAGATTTTGAAATATACTATTTTCGTAAATTATATAAACTGAAAAGTGTAGAATAATTTATCTTTATTTATTTGCAAGAAAAGATAGCTTTAATACTACATAATAACGAATGCAATGAATAATGTAATTAAAGATCCTTTTTTTTCGTTACATTTGTGTTATAGAAAGTAAAAATCTCCCAAATCCCTAACTATTACAATTTTACCATAATTACGCCATACAGAAATTTAAATTATTAGAATAAATATTTGTTATTTTGAAAAAAAAACAAAATTAAAGATTTGAAGGAAGCAATGATAACAATTTTTTTAAACCGCACTTTATAACTTGATCCTATCGGAGGTAGGTTTATTAGAAAAGGAATGGAACAAGATCATTTATCATCATTAATTTCTTTCTTTTAATCCACGTTTATTTCCATAGTTTGATGTCAGCAATTTTTTTAACGATCCATCTATCATAATTCTACTCCACAGGGAATTAGTTAACCTAAAATAGCCATTTTTGAACTCCACAAAAGTGGTGCAATATCAATCTGCATAATTTACTCGAGATTATCTTTGATGGCGTTACATTTAATGCATTTTAAATGAAGCAAAGTTTCACTCTTTAGAATTATTCTTTTCGATAATAAGAATAAAAAGTCAATATATAAAATTATCAAAAATGGCTTTACCAGACTTAACTCGTAGCCGTCGACTTCAATCTTTGTCTTTGAGTGACGCTGAACTTGTTGAAATTAGGTATGCTATTAAATATTAATTTTTGAATAAACGAAACAGAAAATTAATGTTATAATCACTTTTCACTCATAACATTTATAATCCGATTTTAATAGAGGTAAGAATCAAAAGTTACTAAATAATTATTATTACATTTTTAATAATAATCTCTCTGTTATAAAAAGCACGACAAAGAACATTCGAAGGGGCATATTGGAGAACATGTCTATCATCTTTCGGGTTCGCCCTAATTATTTTACGGATATTTGAGAAAGATTTTTATGGTATTGGACTTGTTTTTGTGGCATTTGGAGGAGCAATGTTAACCATTTCAGCTTTGAGAAGACGAAATAATCTAGACATTTTTGATAAAAATAAGCCATTTGTTACAAGCGGAGGTTATGTTGTATTAACCAGTGTTATAGCTTTGATTACATATTTGGCTTTATTGATAATGGTTTTCAGGTTGGGCGAACCTAAAATCAAATCATAAGAAAGGAAATTATATATTATTATATTATTACCACTTACAATTTCGTTCCACTCAATTTGTAATTTTTCATCAATTGTCTTATTTAAACAATGATTCATGAGTCATAACAAGAACATTAAGAAATATTATATAATATTTTGCAGATTTCAATAATTTAGTAATTTAAACCATTAACCAATATAATGCATTGCCAAGTTAATTCTCTACAATTTGGATAATTTGGATTTACTATTTACTGACTTTTTTTTTTCCAAATATCATACTTTCTAAAATAAGATTACTAAAAAAGTGCATGCAATATTAAATAAAAAATGTAGAGTCTTTAATTAAAATATTAATTCTATTGTTTTTTTAATATATAATTATTTGAAAAGTTAACAGAAATAGAAATAAATAATTATTCAGATATTATAACAAATAAAAATATTTTTTTTAAAGATCTTAATTATAAGAAAATACTATTTATCTATCCAGCCAGCTAAATATAATATTAATAATTATAAAAGAAAAAATTATTAATAACTTTTATATAAATAATTAATACATTAATTTTAAATATATACAGTACTTTAATATTTTATTAATATATTTAATTAAAAATTTAATTTAATACAATTTTAAAAATTTTAATTTTATGCTTAAATTTTATGGTTTTTTTTTTATTTTTGCAAATTATTTAATATAACAGATGACCTTAAAATTTATATTATAATTTTAATTAATTATAGATTATTAAAACCAATCAATTAATTGATTAAGATTTTTTTTTTATTTTTTTTATTAGATGCTAATACAAGGTAAATAAAGGAAAAAAGAGTTTTTTTTATTAGAAAAATGTTTTTAATGAAACATATCTTTCTTTTTCCTTTATAAAAATACAATTAATATAAATACAAGATAAATGGAAAAGAAAAAATATTTTTAATAAACCATTTTTTCTTCTTTTTATAAACATACTGGCTTATTTAAATATAGATATAATTTATAATATACTGAAATTGCTAAAACTATACTAAATATATTGTTTTTCTTATATTTTATTATACCTTTTAATCTTTTAATTCTTGGTGATTTATTTTCACAGTGATATTTTTTGTTTCATTTTATTGATATTAATTATAGTGTTAATAAAATTTTAAACTCATGTAAAGTAAAAAAATTAACATTAAAATAATTAAAATATAATAAGATGTCTTTAAAGCAATACAGTAATCAAGGGAAATAGCCAATCAAAACTAACTAAAATCGCGTAATCATTGATTGAGTCAAAAGCATATTAAATCGGTATGTTCAATTATTCCAGAGAAAAAACAATTCTACTGATAATTTTAATGTAGATTTTATCTGTCTATTCTATTTATATTTATTGGCACCATCTTTTAAATAATAATCACACAAGATTATAAAATTACTTGAAACTGGAAGTGTGAGAAATGGGAAACAATAAATATTACTTTAAAAACTAATTTTACAAGAAAAAGGTTTTAAGCATATTATCCCAGAGATCCGGATTACCCGTTATTCCGTTAATAGGATATCCGAATATTATTAATAGATTTATTCCGTTAGTAAGATCTCCTCAGAAAGACTTTATCATTAAAGTATATCTTTTTAAAGAGATAATACCAAAGTACAAACAATCGATACAATCATTTGATTCTCTTATGAAATCATATTTGTTACAGGGATATGTAAAATAAACAATACTCTTTTACATATACCTGGGTATAGAAATATTCTTTGACGATTCATTGTGATACCCCTGAAGTTATTAATATGAATGAATTTAATTTATTTATTAATAATGTAACATATGAAAAATAAATAAAAAATTTGACAATGAAAAAAAGGAAATAAAAAATGTATGTATTGAAATAATCTATATGTACAATATATTATAATTTCGTGAAAAAAAATATTCCAAGGGGGTTAACAAATGACACATCTGGATTCAAATAAAGATTCCAACCAAGATAAATTAGGTTTATGACCAAATTCCACGTATAGACAACCAACAGTTGGCTTATTTGGAATACATCGAAACTGATATTTTTCCATAAGATGCTCAATTGCAGGTTTTAATTTTGCGATACCATTTAAAGAATGTTTACCGCGACCTACAATAATTACTAAATGATCAATTTTATTTTCTTTACAATATTGTATTCTTGATTCAGTTTTTAATAAAGCTTCTTTAACATATAATCCATGAAGATCAAGTTCATTAAGTGGTCTGTTTTTATTATTTTCTAAGAAAAATGGAAATGCATAAGAAATTATTTTTATTATTAAAAAAAAAAATAATTTTTTAAGATATAATAAATACCTTTAAAGATTACTTCGACAGCTTTCATATTATATTGTTCCATCTTCTTTGTATGTTCTTTACCTTTCTGTGATAATTCCTTGGCTTCTTTACCTCGACGAGATTTATATGCAATTTGTGATTGAGCAAAACAATCATTACGAAGTTGTGCTTCTTCACTAGCAAGTTTTCGATATTTTTGATAAGTTGTTTCTGCATCTTCAGTAGGTAAATAAGATACTTGCTGTCCCATTATTAAAAAATATTATTCCAATTTTTTTTATAACAAAAAAACGATGAATTTTTGTAAAAAAGATGAATTTTTGTAAGAAAAAACGATGAATTTTTTATAAGAAAATTTTTGTAAAAACGATGTAAAAAAAAAGACGATGAATTTTTTGTAAAAAAAAAGACGATGATGTATTTTTTTGTTTGAATTTTTGTAAAAAAACGTTTTTTTTCTCAAAAAAAAAACGAAAATTTTGTTTTAACGAAATATTTTTTTTAAAAAAAAAGGAAGATAATTTTTTTTTTGTTTTTTTTTATCAAAATATTAACTAATGTATTTATTATTTATATTTTTTTTTTACTCCCCCGCCATCATACCTTTTTTATCAATAATTATTATATTTTAAAACCTGTATTTCATTACATATATACTTATTCACATTATGAACTATAAATAAAATACTCCAACGTCTCGGATTTCTGAAACTTGAAATTTTTTTAATTTTTTTATTGTTTTCTCTACAAGGAAATGATGATTTTCTCACTAGGAAAAAACAAATCACACCTGGATTAACGATAATTGTTAATCCTTATCATTACGCAAGCATTAAGGTGAGATCATAATCCTAAACTGAAGAAAGTTTAATTAAATCAAATATAGAAAATTAATACTTGACACAAAAATATGTGTGTTCGCACAGATGCCTCCTGTTCGGTCGTCGGTTTTGTACTACCGATGTATTACCGAAATTCGGCTATTCATGTTTTCGTATAGCATCATTTCGTATCGTGTTTGTTTTTTTTAAAGCAACCTCTTTTTAAAAGATTTTTTTTAAAAAATATCCTTAAAAAGATGTTTAATTTACGTATTATGTAATTTTGCAGTTTTTGATTGGTGTATATGCATTTCATTGTTCAAATATGACTGTCATATGAAGTATGAATCATAAGTCATAACATCAACTTTTTAAAACACAAAACACAAAGAATCAACTTTAAATAAAAAATGGGCAAAAAACCTCTTCTATGATTTCGTTGAAAATCACTTCATTGATCCTCATTTTGAACCCTGTTTCATGTTTCATCTATGAATCTTTATTTTTTTCGTTGTGAACTGAAATTATCTAAATTAAAACAAACTTGTAACGCGGAAACCTTAATACCAAAATTATCATTTACCCATTTAAAATCGTTACAGAATGAAAGTAAATAAAGGGGTTTTAATTTATTTTTTCTTTATCAGTTATAGCAAACAAAGAATATATTTATTACAAAAGGCTTGGCTATTTATCCAATTATATTGTACGGATTGGCAGATTAGCATTTAGCAGTATGTATTAGGTATGTCGATCTTTATTTTATTTGATCACGCGAAAAAAAATTACGGGGGGAGGGTTTAATTATACATCCTTATTTAGGCTTGTATTGTAGTATATGGAATTAGAATATAAAATTAAAATATACAATCTTATTAAACAACGATTTTCAGACAGGATTTTTAGTTTTAATCAATCTTTTATTTCTAATTGATAATCTGACTTTTTAATTATATTTTAAATATTACTAAACTTTACTACATTAATATTTTTTAAAATCTTTAAGTAAAAATACAATTTAATCCTTTTATTTTAAATCAATTAAAAAACAAATTTTTAAAAATTTAAAAATATTACTGTTAATTGGCACTCATTAGGCTCTACAATTTAAAGGAAAAATTGGACTACTAAATGCTGAAAAATTGCAAAAAACAATTTTTTAAGTTTTAATAAAAAGAGGTAATACTAAGATATGTAATAAAATGTATTTTTTTTAATTTTAAAAAAATGTTTTCAAATGAACTCTTAAAAACTTCACAAACAAAAAAATTTTTATTAAAAAATATTTCAAATGTTATTTAAAACAAATAAAAAAACTCTTTATTAAAAGTATCTTAAAAATTTTTTAAATAAAATAAAAAACTTTAAAAATTTCAAATATTTTAAATATATATAAAAAAAAAATCTAATATAAAATGAAAATCTTATAGTAAAAATTATTATTATTATTAGGGATGTCAAAAGTTCGGTTATAACCGATTATAACCAGTTTTTATTGGTTCGGTTACGGTTCAGTTTCAGTCCACAGACCGACCGGTTAACCGTCGGTTTTATATATAAAAAAACCCGACAAAAAAACTGATCAGTTGATCATATATTCTAAAAGAAAAAAATGTTTCTTTCGTTAATTATATTGAGAATACTATTAAAAATTATGATTTTGGTGTTTATTTATATATATAGTATTCTTATTTTTGAAATAATAAGAAAATTTTTTATGCGTCGATCACGTGATTTTTTGTTCTGCTGAAAAAAATCGCAAAATTGACATTATTATCGTAAAAAAAAAATTATAATTTTAAGGAATATTATCAAATAAAATTATAATTAACACTTTCTAACATTAGTTCATTCAATTTTGCAGTAATTTTGCAATCGGTTTTGCAATTCGGTTTTATCGGTCGGTTTTGCAGTCAGTTCGGTTTCAGCTGAAAACTGCAGTTTTAAAACCGAAACCGAACCAAACTGACCGTTGGCATCCCTAATTATTATACAAATAAAAATCTGACTTTTTACATAACTGCTATTTAATTATACAATTTTAATTATATAATATATTAAGAAATTATATAATAAATTTATATAAAATTGGATTCCAGTATTATATATATTCTTCAGAATTCTATAAAATCATATTCTATCTAAAAAAATAGAAGAATTTAAATAATCTAATGAATAGAAAGTTTAATATTAAAAATAAGTTATATAATTGATATATATATTGTCCAAATTATTCTAGACTGCTATAATTATAAGTAAAATCCCAAATTTAATTATGGCATTCCAAATTATTTTGGCACTTTATATAGTAAATTACATATAAACTGAATGAATTATGGCATCTCAAATTATAATTATGGCATTTCAAAATAATTTGGGCAGTATGTATAAATTGATATTATTACATTTCCTTAAAATTCAACAAAAGATCTAAGAATAAAGCAAGAATAATAACACTTTCAAAAGTTTTGTGAAATTCTCCAAGAAGAATCTTAGTATTACAGATGTTAATTAAATTTCTTTAAATATATGCAAATAAGATATAAAATGTAAAATAAAAAAAATAATAGTACAAGAAGACCTTTCAATCAGAAAGTTAAATAAATAAAAAGAAGAACTTTTAGTGAAAATTGTACCAAAATTAATGGACAGATTATAAACAATCAGAAAACTGTTAGTTTGATTAAATTAAAAGTTTAATTTCTTTTATTTTATTTTATTTTTATTTATAATAGTAGATAGAAATTTAGTTTTTAGAATTTTTCTTTACTTATTAATTAGTTTTTTTTTTACAGAGTTTTTTGTTGCTAAAAATTCTTTATAGCCAAAATATTACCTAAATCTTAAGATAATTAAATAGGACCCCGGATATCTCCAAAACAAGTCATAAGTCACACTTTCGGCAGATTGGCCCATTTTTCAGGGGCTCAAAAAATCGTTTTTTGTAAATATCTCGGCATCCAGTGGTCCAATTTTGATGAACTTTTTTTTAAATTGTAGAGCTAAATGAGGGCTACAAAATAAAAAAAAGTTCATTAAAATTGAATTACTGGATGCTGAGATATTTACAAAAAACGATTTTTTGAGTTTCAGCAAAAAGGGGTGTTTTTGGCCAAAAGTCCATTATGACCTTTATATTAGATATCCGGGGTCCTAATTAAATATTTAAATTTGGATCTATTTGAAAGGGATATTATAGATAACAATTTTGCAGATATTATTTCTTGAACATAAGCTTATATTCAGTAATAATTGTTAAAATCATCTTTTCTAATACATATTGCTGAAATTTAAGTTTATTAATAGACTTGCTAAACTTATTACTACCACTATTTGGATTCTTTGAAGTGATGTTATTTTGTAATCATTTATGTCTAATAGGAATAGGCAAATTAAGCTGGCTATCTTCAGGTATTCATAGCAAAAGTTATCATGTAGTTCTTTTCTTTTGAAATAAATAGTATAGCCTTATTTTGTTTGTATTTTAACAAACTTATTCTGTAATTAATGCGTGTTATTTTCAAAAATTTCCATATTGATTGGAAATGAATATGAAGAAACTAATTTCTAATTAGCTAAATTTATTGACATATTGGAGTTAGGTGACTTTTTTTTTAAAGTTATAAATTTCTTACTTAAAAAAAGTCTAAGAATTCTAGCAAAATAAATATAAAGTTTATATATTTGTCACCATTGGTAAGTCTCAATTTTACATGTCTATTTTCAAATTTACTATAAAGACTTATATTAAAGTGTTTTAGTATCTCTAATTTCAAAACGTTCTGCTAAAGTCTGATATATATTTATTATAATTGACTTTTTAAAATTTTAGAACCAATTTCTATTAAACTAAAAAACTTTTTTTCTGGTAATAATTTCTTGTATTTTTTTCAAATTTATTTGAGTGTTGTTATTATCATTATAAGCCATATTTTTTAAAAAAAATAAAATTTTTTCTTTTATAAAAAAATGTTTTATATAATCAGTAATCAGAGTTTCCAATTTGAAAGGTTATATATATATATATATATATAATATAAAATAAATATATTATCCCTTAAACGGTAAAATATTGCAAGCAAATTTATCTGCAATTTTACTGAAAATTCAGTTCTCATCTAATTTTATGAAAAATAAAGCTATTTTAATAAAATTTTTTTTCGCAAAGAGCTTAAATTATAATTTATGTGACAATAATCATTATTTATTANAGCTATTTTAATAAAATTTTTTTTCGCAAAGAGCTTAAATTATAATTTATGTGACAATAATCATTATTTATTAATTACATATTATAAGATTGAAGATTGACCATTGGTCAAAAGTTGTATTTTTTAAATGACAAAAAATTTTGAAAAATTTTGCATTTAACTTTGACAATCTTATTGGAATTTGATTGCAGCTATATTAAAGTTTAATAGAATATGTAAAATTTTCTATGAAGAACAACTTTTGTTATGATGATTTTTAATGTTTAGAAGTGGCATTTTGACTTTACATAGAACTCTAAAAATAGAATTATTTTTGTGAACTTGTAAAAAATACATAAAATTAAATTTTATCATCACTATTTTGTTCATTAAAGTATGAAGTTTCATAATAAAAATAAAAAAATATATTAAAATGCTTTG